CATCTCCGCCGGGGAGCTTGCCCACAGCCCTGAGGTGGTGGGGCAGGAGCTGCAACCGGATGTGGCAGCAGCAAGTAGAAGCCCTGGGTCCCTAAATACAAGATATAGTACAACAGACTGAATTGCAAGCTGTTACATGGGCCTTGCAAGATCATTCATCCACTCCAATTAACCTCCTTTCCAACAGTGCTTATGTCTGCGGTGTGATGCCCCACATCAAAACTGCCACCATTCACACTGCCCAGAAGGATCTTTTTATTTCACACTCTCCAGTTTGTCATATGGTCACACCATGTCCCCTATTTTATCAGTCATTTGCATTCTCATTCCCAAGTGCCAGCACCTCTCACCGAGGGAAATGCTGCAATAGACAGAGTGCTGGCTGCTGTCACTGTTGTTCCCTCAGCATTCAACAGGCTTCTGCCTCCCATGCCATCTTCCATCAAAATGCTTCTGCCTTGTATAAATGGTTCCTTTTAACCTGGGAATAGGCTCTACAAATTGTTAAATAATGTCCCTCATGTGTGATACATCTTCCCTTAGTCCCTATGGGGGTTAATCCCCGAGGGTTATACCCTAATCATCTCTGGCAATTGGATGTCACTCATATTCCTGAGTTTGTGTCTTTATGCTGGGTCCATGTTTCAGTGGATACTTCTTCAGGATTTATTTTGCTCCTGCTCATATTGTTGAAGTGGCTAAATATGTCATTGCTCATTGCTTGGATGCCGTTAGTACCACTGGCTACCCATCGGGACTTAAGACTGACAATGGTCCAGCTTATACAGGTGCTACCTTCCAAATGTTTTGTAAAACTTTTCATATTTCCCTTACTGTGGGAATTCCTCATAACCCTCAATGTCAAGGAATTGTTGAACATGCTGACCATTCACTCAAAATTCAATCACAAAAACAAAAGGGAGAATCCTTCCCTACAAAATTCACACCTCATAATAGACTTCACTTGGAAGTACATACTATTAACTTTTTAAATCCTACTAGGGATAGAACTATAGCCAATGTCACAAATTTCTTCCATGACATCCCATTAACAAGTTAGGTAAAAGCTTGTTATGTACTAGATAGAGATAATTGACTAAAAAAGGCTATTTTATGTCAAAATGGAAATTTAGGTGTGTTACAAAAAATGTCATCATGATTGTTATGCTACAATATCATGTATGTATGTTTATTTCAAATTTTCTGTGTAAAACTATGTAACTGTTGTCTGTTAACATTCTACAGGGATTCAACTACTAAAACATCCATGGTTAGTAGGAAATAATGGTTCTATTTTGTGTAATATTAAGCTCACTGCTCCCATTACAATGTAATGTCATTAACCTCTTCTAGAGGTTCAACTGAGGTTTGGAGACCAAAAACTAGAAAGATAGGCTAGAAGGACAGCCAGTATTTTGGTCCCAGACCTCCAAGATCAATGAGGACCCAGGAAACAAGAAAACCATTCAGCAACATCCTACCACTCTAGTGAGTTATACAAACTCATGAGCAAGGAGATTGTGAGCCCACAGAGGAAAGTGATCAGCAATGTATAGTGTGCCTAAGGAGAGTCACCAGGAGAGAAAAATCTCCCAAGGTTTCATAGAAAGCAACATGGTCAAGCAATGGTCCTGACTCATCCATACTGCTGACACTTGACAGAAGAATTAAGAGGTACTTTACACAGTTCCAAGGTAAACTGAGGAGACTTAACTGACCTTGATAGATAGCAAAAATTAATTTTAACTAATACAGGTCTTGCCTTAACTTGGTCTTGAACATCCTGCAGAAAAGTATAACTACAAGAGGTATAAAACAATGTAATAGTACAGTGATCCCTCACCTGTTGCAGGAGTTACATTCCAGAGATCCCTGCAATAGATGAAAATCTGCAAAGTAGCAGTGTTCTATTTATCATATATATATACTTTATAAACCCTTCCCATACTCCTAGAAAGCTTTCCCACTCTCTTATTCTTTTTTTTTTGGTACTGGGAATCAAACTCAGGAACTTGTGCTTGCCAAGCAAGGTGCTGTGCCGCTGAGCCATATCCCCAGCACCCCGACTCTCTTATTCTTGCCCACACTCTTATAAACACTTCATATGCTCTTAAAACACTTTCTACACTCTTAAACCTACATAATTTTAACAACATGCAAAATTCTACATGGGTACTCACCAATGAAGTATACTACAACTTGAATGATGATCATGAATTATGTAGCTGTGCAGTACTGATAGTGATGAAGGTGATGATGATCAGATGAATGTACTGCACAAGCCGGACGTGGTGGCACACGCCTATAATCCCAGCACTCAGGAGGTTGAGGCAGTAGGATTGCTGTGAGTTTGAGGCCAGCCTGGGTTACAAAGTGAGCTCAAGGCCAGCCTGAACTGCATAGCAAGACCCTGTCTCAAAAAGACAAAAAAAAAAAAGAATGTATTGCACAGCCAAGAAGAGCAAGGAGAGATGTTGAATATATGGGCACAGTGCAGGAGAGCAGACAGAGTGATGCTACAAAACATAGTGCTGTGGTTGGTTGACAGCCAATAGTGTGCCGTGTGCAATCTCAAATTGGCAAACTTGTGCAAGTAGTAGTGGACTACTGCATTTCCATTGTGTACAGTAGGGCATTCACCCACTGATGAAATACACACTGTATTTTATTTCAATTAACATTCTTTTAATATGTTTGAATTAACATTTTTTATATTTTAAATTTTTTAGGCAAAAATAATTAAAATCATAAATATTATATAAAACCTATATACCACAAAATCCTGTGATATAACAAAAACTACACAATACAGAATTAGATATATATATTTTTAAAAACCTATGATACAGTGAAGCCACAATAAGTGAACCATGATATAGCAGGGGATGACTGTAGTATGCTTACTATAAAAGAAATTCACATCACTAACACCTTTTGACAATTAGCAGCTACACTGGGAATTGGGTGTAGCTGTTATGGGTTAATGGACTGCATAGGGTTAAACTGCTGAATGCAGGGACCTGAAATTCTTGGACTGGGAATTTTTAGCCTAAATGAGTATATTCACTCAGAATGGAAAGAGTTTGAGAACTAGGTCTTCTACAGAGTCTTCCAAACACAGCTCCTCCAACTTCAACAGACCACCCCTCACTTGCAACTATGAAACAGAAAAGGGGAGATGTGGGGAGAGACTGAAGCTGGAATTGATCACATGTGCAGGCCTGGAGCAAGGCTGGACCTGAGAACAAAGAGCAAGGCTGGACCTGAGAACCAAGGCGAGCCACGTGAACAACCTGTTCAAGCTCCGAGGACACCCAACAGGTTGCAAGGCAGAGGGGTGTCACATAACATCAACCTGCCAAGTGTATAAATAAATATGCTGCAGTTGTTGAGCAGTTCCTTTCCTCCCACCCAGCAGGCTCCACCTGACCTCAGCTTTCTGTATTCTATCTCTCCATTCTCTACCATCCTTCACTCTGAGAATTTCTGAGAGCGCTACACTGGACACGGCAGTGTTTCCCTATACAATTCAAGTTGGCTTTGAAGTCACATTTCCACAAAAATAAGACCTAACTGGAGATCAAAAATGCCAGAATGTCAGCCTAACTTTGCCTTACTTGTCGTTACAGAGTGGCCACCAAGCAAGAGAGTAGAGTGGTACAATCTGCATGACACTGGCCATCACCATCCTACCGACCAGCTAGGTTGTTAGGTCACTCATTTTAGGTTTCATTTTCAGAGAAACACAGTATGGAACCCTAGCTGGCTTCTAACTTGTAGTGATCCTCCTGTCCCAGGCTATATTATAGGTGTGCACCCCTATGCCTGGCTCTAACTAAATGTTAGTCAAATAAAGGTCAATTTCCCTTTACTTTTTATCTTGGTGATGGTTACACAAGTCCTTTCACACCCAATCCTTAAGTATATTTTGTGTACATGCTACGCTTTTATGAGAAAACCCTCATGTTGTCAGCACCTGGCTCAAATGCTCAGGGACTTTGTGTTCCCAGATCAAACTTAATCCCTCCTGACTCTCCCAACCATGACTGGCCAGCAGGTCCACCTGCAGCCCCTCAGTGAGCCATGGTATGGCACCGATTGATTCTGCAGGCTTCGACCAAATGTGTCCTTGCACCAGTCCTTCTGGCCCACCAGATCCCTCCCCTTCCACCTCAAGTGTCCTCTGGGTGCTCTTGCAGCAATTTCCACCTCAGAGAGTGCACTAATCACACTAGGCTGTGATGCCCGTCAACCTCAACAGCAGGAACTTTCCTCTCACTTTACAGGGGTGTCCAGTGTAGGAGGCCAGCAGTGTGGCAGGATGAAAAGACCATGCCAGCGGTCCAGAAATTCAGAGACAGGCAAGGCCTGGTTGCTCCAGGTGTCAGCTTGCCTTGATGCTCCCTCTCCCACTCTGTTGGCTGGGGACTATCTGCTGAGGCAGACTCCAGAGGTTGGGGGCATGGCAGGGGCCTCAGTGCCAGCCTGCAAATCCCAAGAACTGACTGCCACTGGTACCAGTTCCAAGATCAGGGAAGGCTTCGGGTAACACCTTCCACTTGTCAGGGTTTCAACTTCTGACACATGAAAGTGTTGGACTGTGCTCTACCAATCCACTCTTCTCAGGCATAAAAGTTGAACGAAAGCCAAACATGGTGGTGCACACCTGTAACACCAGCACTCCGGAGACTGAGGCAGGATGATTGCTGTGAGTTTAAGGTCAGCCCAGGATACGTAGTGAGTTCAAGGCCAGCCTTAACTGTATGTATAGTTGTTTTTTTTATCTTTTTGAGACAAGGTCTCGCTATGCAATTCACGCTGGCCTTGACCTCACTTTGTAGCCCAGGCTGGCCTCAAACTCACAACAATCCTACTGCCTCAGCCTCCTGAGTGCTGGGATTACAGGCATGCACCACCACGCCCTGCCAGCCTGTACTGTAGAGTGAGACCACGTCTCAAAAAATCGAAAATGAAAAAAGTTAAATGACTGACCAGAAAGATTTAAAGAAGAGAGGAAAAAGTTTATTGTGTTGAGCAGACCTTATTTTCATTATAGTACCAAGAAATTCCTTCTCGATTCCCTTTGGGTACAGAGATCCTGCAGACATTGAAAACCCCAATGCTGTTCCCAAGCAAGGGGCAGCACCTGAACACATGTTGCATTTAATGGGAGACAGAATTACAGTAAAGTTGATACTTATAAAGATTGTTAAAACTACATTTCTTTTTTTAAAAAAAAAACTTCAGTTTTGTCTCCATTTTCCCTTGTTTGCCTTATTTCCATGTTAACTGGTTGGAAAATATGGTACAGTACTTCATAACCTGTTGTTCCAAATCGTCAACATTAGGTTAAAGTGTTTTGCTCTTTATTGTTGGAGCTCCTCTGCAACTCGAAATAGTGACAAGTAAGGCAATGCCAAAACACAGGTGGAGGAAGGCCTGGCTCTGACCCCGTTATGTCCCACTCACCGTCCCACAGCTGCTCTGCAGTGCTAGAGAGCTGGGAAAGCTCAGGAGGGCCACTTGCTTGCAAAATCAATACCACGGACCCTAAGCTTGTTGGATTATTTCTAGGGGTCTTGGGCTGCTTGCAATTGATTTTGTGGTTTGTTTCTGTAAACTGTCAGCACTCAATGATACCCCAAGGGAGTGAGATCCTCTGCTTGACTTACTGACTCACTGTGCCACACAGTACAGAAGCACTGTTTCTGTATTATAGAGAAATAAAATAACAAATAATGAGAAAGGCTACATCCACCACATACTCTGAAATCTCAGCAATGACCTGAGCTAATCATGAATTCAAACAGACAGTGAACAAAGTCCTGATTAAGATCCTTTCTTCACTACATTAAGGCAGAGAAAACAAGAATTTGAACACTGTTACCTTACCAGGCTAAGCATAGGGTTAAGCTATATTTGACTGATCATTACCAGAAAAATCCCCCATAAAACCAAGTACTTAAGCTAATTATTAAAATCAGACAATGGTATACATATTTAAGTAACTTTGCACATAATTCATCCTCCATTTTTTATTTACCCTTCACTTTTGTTACCAGTTTCCATCAAATGGCTTTAGTAATACATTTCCATCTCAGTGAAATTCTATCCAGGAAAAATGGACTGCAGTTCCCTTATAACTTCAGTTGAATTATTTTTTACTCATTCAAGACAAATTCACAACAGCAAGCTTTGAAAATGACTGCTGTCACAGATCTAAATGTACTTATGGGGAAAGTGTGGAGCAGAGGAGTCATTTTCTGTCATGTGAGTGGTGTCCAATCTGTTACACATCAAAGTGTCAGTACAGCATACTTCGCAGCTAAGGACACTTAGAGATTTCCTTCCTCTCTGTCACCAGGGCTAGTGTCTTCTAAAAACTGCACTACCCTCTGCAGCTCTCAGCTTTTCATAAAAGTTGTTCAGGCAGAGCCTTAGAATGGTTCAGAACATGAGGATGTAGGAATAGCATAGGAAATTAAGCTCCCTTTATAGAAACTGTCTTAATATACAGAATAAATACATCATCTATGCTGTCCCAAGAGTTGAGCTCATCCAATGCATGGGCGCAGTGAGGCCTCTGCACTTAGATATGCAGCATCTGAACACTCAATGTGAAATGCAACTTTTAATAGACTCAGCCTTACCAATCTTACAGAAAATCAACACGCCCTCACTCTCAATGTGCTAAGTATTCAGTACACTTTAACCAAACCCCAGGTGGCCAGAGAACCTGACCATGGCACACCCTAGAAGCAGGCTGGGACAGGTTCTGATATCAAACACACTGCTCACAAAACTGTATGTCATTCTGACATCACAATACTTCATATCACTCTGCTGACTCAGAAAAGAAATTTCCCACTGTGACATAATGAGAGAGAAAAAAAACCACATTACACACAAATGTTGGTTAAGAAGAATGCATTGGGACAGTTTCCAGAAGCCTGAACTACTGGTTCCTGCTTCTGGGGAAAGCAATCTATTACCTCTCTTTCCAGTCACAGTATACCTTCTCAGAGCAGACACAACAAAGTGACCAGGACCACATTATAGAGGTAACTTATTCCCTGGGCACTGGTTAATTTGGAAAAGGGATTATGCTACATAAAATGAAGAAAAAGTTTGGCAGGAAGGGGCTTAGACCCCTTCAGAAGCAAGCTTGCATTAGTCACTGTTAACTACTAATAAGGCTACTAATGTCAGGGAGGTAACAGATACAGACCATGAGCAACAACAGGACACATCCTACACAGAACATGTGTAATTTGCTATGGATCTTCCTTTTATGTATAATATTCATGAGAGTTGCTAGAACGACAGAAAACTGGCGAGTGGAATCAGCATTTAAAAGTATATCTTACTGACTTGAGTATTTCTTGCTCTACCTCCCAGACAGTGCACAGAAAAATGTACACTTCTGCCTATAATTGTGGACAGCAGCTGCAGCAGCCTCTCTGAAAATTCGACTAAATGTGAAGATGAAGCCTAAACAAAAGTCTCTTGATGTCATGATCTTATTCTTTCAGTTGCCTGACCCAGATTAGGACTGGGCAGACAGAAAGCACGCCACAACCTTTCTTCCCTCCTCAGCTTCTTATGAAATTATGAAAATGAAGTCAAAAGGTCCTTCAGAGGCAGACATAGTGGCACATGCTTGTAACCCCAGAACTTGGGAGGCTTACGACTCTGTGGTCAGCTTTGTGCTACACAGGAAGACCCTGCCTCAATAACCAAGAACCAAAACCAAACCAACACAAAACAACAACAAAAATTCCTTCAGATTGTGAGGTTCCTAGACTAACTTTTGCATTTGAAAATGGAAAAGTAAATTATTGGTATCTGGAGTAAGACTGTGGTTTTAAAAACACTGCACATCAATGGCTTAGAATGGTAAAGACTTAGCTATCCACTTGCACCTGCTCCTCCAATTTTTCTATTTTATGTGGGGGTGGAGATAAAAGGCCTTGCTGTGCTAGCAAGCATTACTTCACTGAGCTCTCCACCACCCTTTATATTTTTAAAAAGTAGGCAGAATAGGAAGAATAAGTCCATGTGAACTGTAAGGCAGGTGCAGTGCTTGTGCTGCTGAACCTGCAGCCTGACAGGGGCGCTCACCCATCCATCAGCCAAGCCCACAGGGCCAGTGCTGGATGAGGGAAGGAAAAGCCAAGCAAGAGCTAAGGGGCTGACAGTGCTTTGTGGTACAACTATGTCATGACAGAACTGATGTGAACGCTACTGATTTCTGTAAGCCAAAGGCAATCACAGAGCTAAAACAAAAGGAACATGGGCCACTGTACAGAAAATCATAAGTCCATAGTCAGAAACCTTCCTGGCCTTAGAGCTGGGAGCACTTTGTTGAGAAAAATCCAAGCCAACTGTCTCTGAGTCTGAGAGAAAACACTATATAGGAAAGGACAAAGGATGAGGTGATGTCTGGAGGGAGCCCAAAGCCTCGAGATGCATCACTAGGGCTTCATATGGTTATGTCCAGTTGGGGAATGGTTGACACTTTTTTTAAAGTGGAAAGAAAAACCAAAGACTTTCACAAATACAAAAATTGTTTACAAAACAATTACCTAAGAAAGTTCACCAGGTCTAGGTAGAGAATAAGGTTTTCATTTCAAATTAGCCACAATGATAATGACGGTTTATAAAAGAAAACCAGCAAATTCTAATCCTTCCCCAGCACCCTAGAGCCCTCCTATGCCTATCTTCTCTATCTGCACCCCAACCAACCACTCCCATCTGTCCCCAAGTTAATTTGCTTAGCCACTGTACTGAGCCAACCCTGAAGATACACAATGGTTGGTTTGGTTTTGATTAAACAATGAACCTAGCACTTGGGAAAAGACTATGGGGAGGTGGGTGGGTGGGGTGTTGGCATAAATTTCCAGGTGTGTGGACCTTGGACAAAGCTTCTTTCTGCCAGCCTGACCCACACTGGGTAGGCATCTGAGGTGCAGCCTGAGCTGCAGGTAAACTGAGGTAAGGAAGAACACGGCAGCTCTACTAGCCTCCTTCCTAGGACAATGCAGCTTTGTGCTCTTGGATGCTCTTGGATGTGGGCTCCAAAGGACTCATCTTCTTGCCACTGCCATTTCTTCCTCTGGTGAGAAGAGTGCTCTTTTCAGAGTCCCAAAAGATCAGCCACTTGTCTTCCTCTGAGGTACAAATCCAATAGAGCCCTGACTCCAAAGATCCAGCGCCCACTGGTGTGCAGAAGTCAAAATCAAATGCTCAGCATCAAAAAGGCTGGCACACCTGCCCAGTGAGCTTATCAGCAGTTGTATAGACAGATCAGAAAAAACTAGCATTTAGTATAAAAACTGTTTTCAATGGTGCCATTTTCTATTTTCCTCCAAAGATCATAATTCCTCATGTGTCTGAAATGCTATGGAAAAGGAAAACAATGGAAAATAGATTATCCTCAAGTTAAAAAAATATGGAATAGATATTTTACCCCACCTTCATTTTGTCTCCCTTTTTAAATTTTAGAAGCTTTAGTTTGGTGTTTTTGTATTAAATTTTAAAAGCAAAAACAAAATAGAGGACATTTTTAAAAACAATGAAACTCTAAGGCTATTTTTCTCTTCCTGGCAGCCTGTCCTATGCTGTAAGGTGTGTTTTCTTTTTTCTGCTTTCTTTTTCCTACTTTTACTTGGCCCAAGCTCACTCTGTGGAGCCCAAGTGTTTTCTTAACCTTCTGGGTTTTTTCCCTACCTTTAATAAATGTGAAACTTTAAAAACAAAAAAAGAAACTCCAAGAGATGGAGGGAGGGGAGAGGGATGCAAGGGGACAAAAATGAAAGTGTGTTATGCAATGTACCAACACACTCCCTATGATGAACATAATCATTACATACTGCAAATGTACTAATAAAAATTAAAATTTGAAAAAAAAATTATTACAAATTAAAAAAATTGAAACTACCTGCAAACTTCATTCCAACAAAATCATTTTCACAAGTGCAGTATAACATTTAGTAAATGTGCATGTATTTTCAGTTAGTTCTTTTTTTTTTTTTTTTTGTATTAGGGATTAAACTCAGGGCCTTTGCACTGAGCAGCCTATTTTCAAAATTTTTAAAAAATTTAATCTTATTTAATTTTAATTTATTTTGAGACAGAGTCTTGCCAAGTCATTAAATTGCCTAGACTAGGCTTAAACTTGAAATTCTCCTGCCTCAGGCTCCCAGAATGCTGGTATTACAGATGTATGCTATATGCTTGGACAAAAGTCTCTCTGTATTCTAATGATTTTTTTCAAGCAGCTACCATTTAAGGTTTGTACACTATAGGATATTATAGAAAGATTTAAATCCTTTCTATCCATAATCTAAATTAAACACAAATTCCACCCATATCCCAATATGCCTATTTCAAAGAATACTTTCTTCAAATCAGTATATACTTTGTCTTGATGGAAGTTTTGTTCATTAGTGCCTTGACAGATTTAATGAAAAACAAACAACCCAAGAAATCTGACCAGAACTCCCCAAAATAGTGGCTTAGATATCACAAAATTCGTAAGATTAAATAACAATGATTACAATTAAAGCATCCTTTTTTCCTGCAAAAAAAAAAAAAGAAAAAGGTGAGAAACTACCTTAATAAACTGTATCAAAGGCCACTGGAAAAAAACATGAAAAGCAGACACAGACTGATCATGTCTAGAGAAGGACTAGGGGGATTTTTCTTATCCTCTTATTCATTATTCCACTGTCTTCCCATTGAATAGAAATCAGAAACACGAAGAAGTACTTACCCAAAGCCAAACATCTCCACTTACCTTCCTGGCTCGGCTTTTTTGTTTTCTTCTCACCCAGTTTTCCCATTTCCTTCTCCTGCTGAAAACGGATCTGTAGCTGTTTGATTTCTTGATCATAGTCCTGCCACTCAGGGACAATTCGCACAGCAGCCTCCAGCTTGGGCTCTTTGGTCATCGGATTATTACACTGTGAAAATCCAATGCACACAGATCAGCTGAGTTGAAAAGAGTTCATTATACAGAGTTTAAAGGTGTTTCTTAGATTACATGTCCAAACTGGACAAAAAGCACAATACTAAGGAATTAAATGATATATTTGCAGAAGCAATATGGTAAAAGGATATATAAAGCTGTATTTACTTTTTCTTCTAATTGTCAGCTGGTGAGACTATGTGCCCAGTAGTTACTGGGTTCTAGGGTGCTAGAGTCTCCATCTGGAGTTGGTTTCTAGGTCCTTTCTGTTCTGAGTAAAGAAATGGTCAAGATAAGAGCAAACAGTAGCAAAGTTTTATTAAAGGTAGGAAAAGAAACAGGCTCTGCACAGCAAGTTTGGGTCCAGTAAAAGTAGGAAAAGAAGTGCACCTACAATATGAGGGCAGCCACCACATAAGAGAGAACACAGAGGCCTGTATTTACTTCCTCAAAGACATTGTAGGGAGCTATTGGAAGACAAGGAAAAAAAAAGTCAGATTGGAAAAATTACAAAGCACAGAAGTGAGCTGGGAGACAAGTAGTGACCAGGCAGACAGCGAATAGTGAAAACAGTCCCATCAGCTCACAGGGGACTCGTGGTTTCCTGCCATAAAGCACAGAAGAACACTGTTGAAGTTACCATATGATGCTTCATTGCCTCTGAACTATACCGCTGCACAGGAAGAATAAAGATCTTATATACACAGACACATAGTACCCAGTACACACAGTACATAGTACACAGACACACAGCACACTGGGTGAAGATGCAGGGCAGCACCATGGACAGCTCACCAGATCAATGGTCTTAGCTCTTTTCTTAGAGGCATCATCACACCACGTTTCACACCAAAGCCATTCTTGAGGGAGTGACTTGATTGGTACCTGATGGATCATGTTATTGGGCAGATCCTGATTGGTAAAGAAAATAAAATACAAGAATCTATAAAGTTTTGGAGGAAATTCAAATAAATGTACAGTGAAAAAGTCACAGAGTTAGCTGAGCACTTTGTATCATGTGCCACTCACAAATGCTTAGAAGTGAAACCAAAAAACTTCAGAGAAATTAAGGAATTTGCTTATGGTGTTTTTCAGAACTTCAAAATTTAGAAAATCCATAGCTACTGAAAACTGTACCCATAATAAGCAGCCACAAGAAACTCCGAGAAACCATTTCACTAAAACTCACAAATAGCTCATAAATAGAATTCCCTCTGTGAAGGAAATTCTAGGAAAATATTCCTGTTCACTTTTCAAAGTCAAGCAAATATAGACAGTGGTTCTTAAAATCTACAATTATCCAAAAAAGAAGCTGGGTCCCTCTTATCTACTGACCTTTGCTCCCAAATACATGAGCCCACATTTTTGGAGTTTATCATGCAAAAAAAAAAAGGTTCTATTGTCTTTAGACTTGCATGGCACAAAGCACTGATCGAATAAAATGATAGTATAAAAAAATTATTAACTGTGATACTTGTAAAAATGATCTAATCAACGATCTTTCAAAGCCCTATATATAAAACTGTGCAAAATACATGATCATATTCTCTATCAAACCCTTTCTACAAACTAAAATTTTAAATTGGCTGGATTAAAACACTTTAAAAATTTTAAAAGTTCATGGCCACCAAACCACTACTCAAAAAACTTCTCAAGGAAATCCTAGACAGAGATAATAAAGCCAACAATGCCAAAAGCCTAATGGAATAAATATATCAAGCAAGGAGAACAGTTAGCAAAGCGTAAAAATAAAGGAATCAGCAAGAGCAAAATAAAAACACGATGACAGGAGTGAGTCAACATCTTTAATAACTCTCAGTGTAAATGGCCTCACCTCCCACAGTTAAAAGATACTGATTTGGTAGACTGGATCACAAAAATCAATAGTATGCTGTACACAAGACACATTTAATCTAAAAAGAAATGTACAGAATAAAAATCAAAGGGTTTGGGGCTGGGGATTTAGCTCAGCGGCAAAAGCGCCTGCCTGGCAAGCGCAAGGTCGTGAGTTCGGTTCCCGGTACAGGAGAAAAATAAAAAATAAAAAATAAAAAAATCAAAGGGTTGAAAACAATATTCTATGCAACTGGAGCCTCAAAACAAGTAGGAATAGCTTTTTCATTTTTTCTATTTTCAGACCAAACTCATCAGAAGAGGCAAAGAAGGTCACTACTTATGTGTTAAGAGAACAATTCAACAGGAACAGATACCAATTTTAAGTATATATACACCGAAACCCACTGCATCCAATTTCATAAAAGAGGGGCTGGGGATTTAGCTCAGTGGCAAAGTGCCTGCCTGGCAAGCGCAAGGTCGTGAGTTTGATTTCTGGTACTGGAAGAAAAACAAACAAACAGAAAAACCAAACCAATTTCATAAAAGAAACACTACTGATAAAAAGATCTGATAAATGTCAGCACAATCAAAGTGAGGGACCTCAATATCCCACCATCACAAAAGACAAACTAGACAAAACAATCAACAGAGAAATAAATAGCAGAGTCAAACCATACCTTCAAATAAATGAACTTAATAGACATCTACAGTGTTCTACCCAACAACAACAGAATACATATTCTTCTGAACACCACATGGAACTTTCTCCAAAACAAAATACATACTACCCATAAAACATGTTTAAATAAATACAAAAGAACTGAAAGTGTCCCATGTATACTATCAGATCACAGTGAAACAAAACTGAAAATCAATGGTAAAAGAAACCACAGAAATTTTACAAACACCTGGACAACATTAAATAATATTCTTGAATACTCAATGGGTCATAGAAGAAATCAAGAAAGAAATTAAATAATTCCTAGAATCAAACAATAATGTTATTAGCACAACACAGCAGAACCTATGGACCCAATAAAAGCAGTCCTAAGAGGAAAGTTTACAGCTGTGAATGCCCACATCAGAAAAGCACAGTGAACTCAGATAAATAACCTACTTATATACCACAAGGTCTTAGAAAACCAAAAACAATCCAAATCCAAAGCTAATACAAAGAAGGAAATTATAAAGATCAGAGTGAGAATTAATGAATTTGAGACTAAAAATCAATAGAAAGAAACTTATAAATCAAAGAACTAGTTCTTCAAAAGAATAAACAAAGTAGACAAGCCCTTAACTAAGTTTACAAAAAGGAAAGAAAAGACCCACAAAAATGCAATTAGAAATGAAAAAAAGCAAAACCCCAATGGATATTGCTGATCCAGAAGATTATTAGTAACTATTTAAAAAACCTGTACTCCAATAAATTGAAGAATCCAGAAGAAATGGATAGATTCCTAGACACACAGGAATCAAAACTGATTCAAAAAGATATTTAAAAAAATCACAGATGGTCCAATAACAAGCAATGAAATTGAGGCAGTAATAAAAATTCTACCAACTAAGAAAGCTCAGAACTTGATGGATTCACTGCTGAATTCTACAGCAACTTCAGGGAGGGTACAACAACTTCAGGGAGGGTACAACACTCAACTCTTTAATAAAACTGAAAGGAAAGGAGTGCTGACAAACTCATTTCTAGAAGCTAGCATTACCCCTATTCTAAACTAGACAAGCACTCAACTAAACAAGAAAACTACAGGCCAATCTTTTTCATGAACACAGACACAAAAATCCTCAACAAGACACTGGCAAAGAGAATGCATCAAAGCACCGAAAAGATCATACATCACAACCAAGTAGACCTCATACAAAGGATACAAGGATGGTTCAACATATACAAAGTGATAAATTTAATTCATCACATAAACAGAAGCAAGAATAAAACTACATAATCTAAGTAGTTACAGAAAAAGTCTTTGACAAAATGCAACATTTATGATAAAAATATTAAAGAAAGTAAGTATAGAAGGAGCTTCTGAGTCTGATAAAAGCCATGCATAACAAACCTATTGCCAAGATATTTAATGAAGGAAAACTGAAAGCTTTTTCTCTAAAATCGAGAACAACACAAGGATGTCCACTATCATCACTTCTGTTCTATACAGCATTTGAAACTTTAGCCAGAGCATTCAGGGAAGAGAAATATAAGGGATACACATAGGAAAGGAAGAAGTCAAGTTATCCTTATTTGCAGATGACATGATCCCTTCCATAGAAGATCCCAAAAAACTGTACGAAAAGACTCCTAAAACTAACAAACTCAGCAATGTAGCAGGATATGAAAAGACCTGAATATTAAAGCTGGACGATTAAATAAGTAAAACTGTTGAAGACAGGCATAGGTGAGGACATTCTAAATAGAACCTCAATGAACAAGAAATAACAACAATAATCAACAAATGGATTATATCAAATTAAAAAGCTTCTGCATGCAAAGTCAACAACCAGCAGAGTGAACAGACAAGTTACAAAAGGGAAAAAGAAATTTGCCATTTACTCCTCAGACACAGGACTAATGTCTAGAATATACAAAAAACCTCAAAAAACTTAGACCTCCCCCAAATAAAAGACGCAATAAAAAACTGGCACTTGAAATGAATAGCTACTTCTCAAAGTACTACAAAATGGCAAATAAATACTTGAAAAATTGTTCAAAATCTTTGGCCATTACAGAAATCAAATTAAAGCAACATGGAGATTCTATCTTACTCCAGAAAGAATGGCCATCATGAAGATGTCAAATAATAACAAATGCTGCTGAGGATGTGGAGAAAAGGGACTCATCTCCATTGTTGGAGGGAATGTAAACTAGTAGTAAAACCACTATGGAAATCAACATGGGAATGCTTCAAAAAACTAGAACTAGAAATTCCATTTGACCTTGCTATTTCCCTTCTATGCATCTTCTCAAAAGAGTTTAAGACACCCTATTACAGTGATAGGTGCACACCCTTGTTTACAGCACACAACAGCTAAATCTTGGAACATTCTATATGTCCATCAACAGATCACTTGATAAAGAAAATGTGGTATTTATATATACAGTGGCATACTATTCAGCCATAAACAAAGATTACTGTAATTTAAGTACTTTGAGATCATAACATTAAGTGAAGTAAATCAGACACAAAAATATTTTTTTTGTTTGTTTGTTTGTTTTTTGTTTTTCTCCGGTACCGGGAACCGAACTCACGACCTTACGCTTGCCAGGCAGGCGCTTTGCCGCTGAGCTAAATCCCCAGCCCCTAGACACAAAAATATTGCATAGTTTCTCTATATGAGAAATCCAAAGTATAAACAATTTAAAGAGCAAAATAAAAGACAACAAGAAATAAGGAGACAGATCTTATACAAATGGAAAGAGGACCACAAATGGAAGAAGGGGGAGAGTGGGGAAAGGGACATGAAAAGAATTTGATCTGTTATGTAAATGTACATCTCATGATGAATATACACGATCGTTACATATAACCAGCATATACTAATAAAAGTGCCTAGAAGAAAAAGAGAAAAAATATGCTTAGTATTTGTAGAATATAACAATAGATATTTACCCAAACTGATTTGTATCTGGGTAGTAAAGCAAGTCTCAACAAACTCAAATACATGAGATAATACACTGAGAACAGTGTGTATTCTCTGACCATAGAGCAACTCAGCTAGACACTGACAGAAAAAAATGTAACTTGAAAATCTCCATGTATTTAGAATCAATCTAAATAACTTCTGAGTGAGTCCAATAAGAAATTGCAAGGGCAACAAGAAGTATACCAAGCTGCATGGTGGTGCCTGCCTGTAATAACAGGACTTAAAAGGTTGAGACAGGAGGATCACCATGAGTTCAAGCCCCTATTGGGCACCATACTGAGTTCAAGACCAGCCTGAACTGCATAGCGGGACCCTGTCACAAACAAACAGCATGATATATATATCGCCATAAAATTAAATTTAAAAATGCTAAGTACAAAGTATGTACAGCCAAAGACAGAATTGAAATTTTCAAGTGCATGTATTAGAAAAGACTAAAAATTCATTAAGTAAACATCTCAGAAAAATCAGAATTTTAAAAAGTTATCTTATCGGTAGCAATCCCACAGACACTAACAAGATAACTAGCGGTTTTTGGTACCATTTGTTGAAAAAGCCATTAGGCAGCACGCTCAAGATTTTAGCGTATTGCTGTATATACATTAATCTCAATGAACAGGTAATCAAAGGATATTGCAAACAACTAAATGACACATCAGAAAAGTTATATATAACCTAATAAAAATATTGAGAGAGCAGTAAAAGATAGCCAGACACGGTGTCACATCTCTGTCATCCCAGCACTCAGGAGGAAAAGTCAGGAGGATCTGCTGTGAGTTCAACACAGCCTGAACTACACAGGAAAACTGTCTCAAAAAACCAAATCAAACCAAATGAAAAGAAATGTCAACAGTCTTATAATTAGTAAAGAGGTTGTATTCACAATTTAAACACAAAGAAAATTCCAGAATTCACTAGTGAATTCTAGCCAACATTCAAGAAATGTTAGGCAAACTAATTACAAGTAAATGATGTAATTCAGGGAATTACGTTTAACACATTACACTTTTTTTCATACTATAGTTTTGAAAAGGAGCAAACTAAGAAAGAGGAACTTCTTTAATATGAACAAGAAGTACCTATAAAAGTCTATATAGCAAACATCATATCTGGCAGAGAAATGCTGAAAATGTCCCTCAGAATCAAGGTTGTTCACTATCAACATTTCTACCCAACAATATAGTAGTATTTCTTTTTCCTTTCCTTTTCTTTCTTTTTTTGTTTCTTTTTTCCTTCCTTCCTTCCTTCCTTCCTTCCTTTTTTTGTTGAGACAGGGTCTTGCTTTGTCATGCAGGCTAGCCTTGAACTCACCATGTAGTCCAGGCTGCCTATGTGGCAATCCGCCTGCTTCAGCTTCCCGAGTGCTGGGATTACAGGTGTGGGTCACCACACCTGGCTTACAATAAGATACGTCTAACAAACCTAGAGATCAATATTTTAAAATGCAAGAGTGAAAATGAAAAAGTAAAACTGTCATCTGTTCTAATCTTGATATGATTATGAATGTACAAAATATAAAAATATATATAAATTATTAAGAGTTAGCAAGTTAATGAATAGCGTAGTTGAATATAATGGGCGAAAATTGCAATTTTAAGAAAGAAAAAATTTTAAAAATAATAAAGCTTGGCATGGTGGTGCAGCAGACAAAAGAATCACTAAGCTTGAATACAGGTCGTGTGACATTATCTACCCTGAGTTGCAGAAAATGAAAAGAATAAAGAAAAATAGATAAAAATGAACAGCACACCAGAGACCTGTGATTCTCCATCAAGTACACCAGTGTACAAATAATGGGAGTCCAGGAGGAAGGAGGGGCAGAAGGGAGGAGAAGAGAAAGACATAGAAAGAATGCTAGAAGAAAAACAATAATTCCCCAAACTTAATGAAAAACAATTAAACACATCCAAGCTCAACTTGCTCCAAGTAGGATAGACTGAAATATGCCTCAACATACTATATTTGAACTTCCAGAAGAATCTTGAAACCAGCACTAGCCATATAACCTGTCTTGTATAAAGGATCTTTCCTAAGATCATATCTAGAGGCTGAGGCAGGAGGATCTCTGAGTTTGAGGCCAGCTTGGACTATATAGTGAGTTCAAGACCAGCCTGAATTACATAGTGACACCCTGTCTAAAAAAAAAAAAAAAAAAATTGTATCTAATTTCCCATCAGAAACCACAGAGGGCAAAGATTATGGAAAAAGATATTCAAGATCTGAAAGAAAACCTGTCATACAAAAATTTATATTCAGCTAAACTATTCAACAAAACTGAAGGAGAAATTCATACATTCTCTGACATTTCATAGCTAGCAGAATCAACCTGCCAGAAATACTAAATGGAGGCCGAGCAGATGGCTATGTGCTAGAGGGCAAGGAGCTGGAGTTCTATCTGAGGAAAATCAAGGCCCAGAAAAGTAAATAAACCTTCCCTGCTGGCTTAGCTCATGTAATAAAGGTGTTTATTCTATGTTAAAAAAAAAAAAAAGAAATTAAATGGAGTCCTTCAGGTTGAAATGGAAGGCTACTGGGCACTAACTTCAATTTACATAAGAACGAAGAGTATGTGGGTAAATATGAAAGTGAGTATCAACATATTTTTTTCCTTCAAAAGCCTATTTTCCTCCTATGCAAACTTAGACAACTGCAAAAAAGCAATTATAAATCTGTATTGGTGGGCATATAAGGTGTAAAGATAAAAATTGTATGATAGTATAAAGGGTGGGGAATGGAGATAATTTTCATACACTCTGAACTTACTCTGGGATTACTTCAAACTAGATTGTCATAAATTAAGGTGTATAATCATCAGAACAAACAAAATAACTAAAAAATATATAGTAAAATAAAAAATGGAACTAAATGATACACTAAAAATATCTATACAAAGAAAGGCAGTAAAAGGAGGAATTATAGAATACAAAAGATACAAGGCATATACTGATAAGAAACAGTGAATGGCAAGTGTAAAACCTACCTCATTAACAATTACATTAAACATAAACAGATTAAACTCTCCAACTGAAAGTCACAGTAGGATGCAAGATCATATCCAATTCTTTCAGATCCTTCCTGGGTCCTGCGGATCCACCTCCCTCCTTCTTTTCTTCCCCAAGGTGTTACATTCATTCCAGTGTCTGGATTCTGAATCCCAAAGAAGCTGACTGGCTAGTGTTTATCACTCCGCCATCTTCCCAAAAGTCATATATACTAATAAATATTGGTCAAAACAGGAACTCTCACACTTCTGATGGGTGCATAAATGACATTACTTTTAAAGTAATTTGTTTGGCATTATCTAGATAAGGTAAACATACTACCTCTGATGAACCAGCAGTTCCATTTATGGTTGTATACACAATTGAAATGTGTGTATACACGTGCAAGAATGTTTACAGTAGCATCATCATAGAAGTAAAACAGGCCACAGGTGGTAATATATGCCTGGAGGATCACTTGATCCCAGGAGTTCAAGGTCAGCCTGGGCAATGCAGCAAGGCCCCATTGGAAGGAAGGAAAGAAGGGAAGAAGGAAGGAAAGGGAAAATGTAGACTAAATAAGTAACATGTGTGAATCACAACATAGTCCTAAGCCAAAGAAGTTAGACTACAAAGAGTACATCTTCTGTGATGCTGCTGAATTAGAAGAGAAACAACAGGTAAACTCAACTACATTTAAGAATACATGCTTACATAGCAAATCTCTAAAGAAAAGCAAATGGAGTGATTGCCATAAAAATCAGGATGCTAACGACTTTTGTTAGAGATGAAGGATGGTCTCTAAAATGCTAGTTCTTGTGGTTTATAGGCATTTGTTTTATAATAATTCCTTGGTGTAAACAAATACAGATATAATTATATTTCTTGGTTTGTGCATTCTTCTTTATGGATGCTATATATTACAATAAAGGTTTAAAAAAAATTTGAAGGTAGACTTAAGCGAAACAAAATGCCTAACATATGTGAAACTATACCAACTACAACCTCACCTCCAAGAAAATGCTTGGCATTAATAACCAGTGATTCAGCTGTCTTGAAACATACTATGGCTTCTAACATACTCTAGACTGTAAATCCTAAGGTATTTAGTTTTTAAAACAGAAAAACAAATGACTATAGCAGGCATAGAAACTTATCAGATGAAGTTGACTACTAAGTTAAAAAATAAGGTAATGGTTCAGAAAGGCTGCACTCTCTTTCCAGCTCTCCCCCTTCCCACACCAGGTCTCTGACATTTTCCACTACTGATATGCCTCGTCAGGAGGTCAGGTACGTCTCAGTATCTCTCAGCACATACCACTTTCCAAGAAAAAACCCAACACTGTTCTGAGTAGAGAACTGAGACACAAGTAATACTCCATTTTCTGATACAACATTGTATACACTACCACCGAAACAGTTAATCATAAAAAAATGGTTACTTACTTGATCCAGATTTGAAAGGCTGTTGGGATCCTGACTCAGACCTTGATACTGTCCCCTGAGTCTGTCTCCAGCAGCTATTTTCCTAAACTTCTTCAGATCCACAACGTACAATGCACTGAACAGAGAAGACCTATTTGTTACAACCATCCATGGATGTATGGCAGGAAAAGCCAACCCCACTGAATAATGGAACAGGATACTAGCCAAACATTCTGGCTTTCTTTGAAATTGTGAGCTGAAGCCTACCATAAAGTTAAAGGTCTATAGGTGTTACTTCAAAGGTGTTTACAGAAGTTACTGGGAAATCCATATTCTGTCATCATTAGATTATTTTGGTCCCTGTTCCTTACTTCATTGCCTTCCAAGGAAATAATCTCTAACAAAAGACCTCCAGCAAATGCAGCAGCTTTGGTAATAAAAGTACAGTTGCTGACAAATAACCCTTAGTCAGAGACATCCTAATGATGTCTTAAATATCACAGGAGAGAAAACCCCACAGTGTTGAAAGTTCTTTTGGACCAGGACTGTAGGTATGAAGCTGAAATCACCAAATCCCATCATTTATTTTTGCATGTGTTACTTCCTTCAAGTCTCTTACCCTTTACAGCTTCCAAATTATACTGCTCCCAGAGAAGACAATGGAATATTCATTAAAAATGCAGCAAATGTATATATACTGTTAGACCTAGGATGATCTACATCTAGAGATTCACCCTACAAACACATGTGAAATATGCAAAATAATACATTTAATAATCATTCATTGCAACAGTATATCATAACAAAAAGACTATAAATAACATACTGTAGTAATATGAAGCTGGAAAAATAAAATTCCTCTCTATATATTGATATGATAAAACCTAGAATTAAAATATTAAGAAAGTTACAAGACAGTGTAAAAAGGATGGTACATTTTATATAAGAAAGAATACACATTCACAACTATTATGTAAGAAATGCCAGAAGGACATAAATAAGTAGGGCAGTTATCTGTTGTGCAGGTAGGAATTGGGTCAAAAAGATTTTAATTAAAAAAAAAAAAAGATTTTATTCATGGACTTTTTTTTGGTTTTTTGACACGGAGTATTTCTATGTACTCCAAGCTGGCCTCAAACTCATAGCAATCCTCCTGTCCCAGCCTCCTGAGTGCTGGGATCACAGCCTTGTGCTACTACGCCCAGTGTCATTTACTTTTTGTAATTTTCATTCCTAAGTCATAGTAATATATTACCTAGTCACAACTTTAAATGCACAAAATTAAATTAAAAGAAGAAGAAAAACACAAATCATTAGGAGTACCCTTTCCCAGTGCCTACCTGATATGGTACTTCCGCCCAGCTAAATGACTGGCCCAGTATCCTGACTTCCAGAACCTGTAGCCATCCATTTCTCTTCGGCTGTCACAAAAGGGAGTATAACCATAAGGGGCACCTTCCAAATTGAAATCCCTTAACTCTTTCAGATCTGTCCGCACAATCTGGAGGAAAACATATCAAAAGTCTTTTTTCCATCCACCATGCAGACAGCTCTAACGTAATTTCCTTAAAATACAAAATACATCATGGAAGGCAGCTAGGAGGGCAGCCATTCCTCACTAACACTTGCTTAGTGTGTACCACACCGGATTCTAAGTTTCTACATGAGTAGAAACAAAACAAACTTCACCTGCTTAGGCTCGCTATCCCCGGCTTTACTCATCCACAAGATGGAGGTAATGATAGTACCTATTTCAGAGTTGCCGGCAGGATAAGGCCAGGTCACATGCACACAGATGTGGAACAATGCCTTGGCCACTATAAGTCCTGGTCAGAAGAAAATCAGGAAGGCATGCTTCAGGTTGAGCCACCTGAGAGATTCCAAAGAGGTGGGTGAAGCTCTGTCCAGGTGACTTTTTTTTTTTTTTTTTTTTTTTTCTCTTTTTTGAAAAAGGGGCCCAATATGCAGTTCAGGCTGGCCTTAAGCTCACTCTGTAGCCCAGGCTGGTCTTGAACTCGCAGCGATCCTCCTGCCTCAGTCTCCTGAGCGCTGGGATTACAAGCGTGCACCGCCACACCCAGCCTTTTTTTTTGAGCTGTCCAGGTGACTTCTACACACCTTACACTGCTTCCACTCAGGGAGGGTGAGGCAAAAGGCTTCTGGGTAGAAGTGCATGTACATGTTTGAGTCTGGAGTCTTTAAAGTCACAATACATTACCTGTATCATGTCAAATCCTGGCAACTAAGAGCTACCTGCAGCATTCCTGGTTGCCAAACCAAGAATCACTCCCTCTTCATCTATCACCCAATAATAACTATATTTGGGGCATATAACTGGAGAGGGTAGCAACTACTGTTAAACATTAATTTTCTAATTCTAGTCTTTCTATACAATTAAGTAATCTACCAGACTGCATAATGACGTCATCGTAACTAAATTAAAAGGACAGAAAAAATGAAAAGGAGGCATGCTAAATGTAAATTAAATTTAAAAAGCAATCCAATCTGTGTGACATCTTTCCATATTTTCTAAATAGTATAAAATGAGCAGGTACTTTCCCATACCTGGAAAAATAGCACTTAGAAAGTTTGCTGTCTTTAATATAAATTAACAAAATCTAGCCTTTAAGCTTACCTGATCAGCATCCACAAACAGGAATTTGTCAACAACTAGTGGGAAAAGTACATCCAGGAAAAGGATCTTGTATCCCCAGATGATGCGCTGTTTTTCAGTCTGCTGATGAAGCCACCGGGGCCATTTGTACTGAACAAGCTCATATTGGAAATTGTATTCATTTGCCATGTAAGGTATAAACTCCTATGTTTAGACACAGGGAGAAACAACTGTTCATTCTGATTAAGAAAACTGACTACCTAATGTAAGTCAACCGCCACGACTGTGACACAAGTAAAGCACATTCACCAAAACAGTGACATAACAAAGAATGGCCTTGACTCAGATGCCCTTTTCTTTACAACTATGGTCACATGAAATGACAAAAGTCTATAGGTGAGGGCTTTTAGATTTATAATTCTCTGTGTATATGTGCGCGTGTATGTATAAGGCACATGAACTTAAGTCTAATTATCTAAACTTGATTTCAGTAAAATACTTCTTGAGTTCGATTATAAACAATCCTTTCTCAATTTCTTAAGGTTAGGTCTAATCCAGGGAACAACAGGGCAAACCTAAAATACTCTCGACCGCTTGCTGTTGTTAATGAGTAATTCTTTCAGGTTCTAAATGAAAGTACCTTCAGGGGACCAGAAGTGAATTAGTGATGTAAGAGAGATATTACTCAACACATTAAAAGTTGCTCAGTAACTTCTGGGGGGGAGGGGAGGGACCCAAAATCAATTTAGATAACAAAACCTCACATAAATAAAGCAGAAAACTTTTCCAGTGTGTTTTTGTTTTGCACAGATAAAGCATCATTTCCACTACATCTTGGTAGTGGCTCATGAGAACTAATGATTCTCCTCACCCTGCACTATCATCACGCTTTTTGAGTTCAAGACATGCACGCTTCAGAGAGAAAAGTGTTATTTCATTAAAACATTCCTTCTTACAAAGATACTCTCTTATATTATTGACGTTTCAAAGACATCATACATAAGTGTTTAGTTTTATAAATTGTTCCCCCCAAACAGAACAATCTGGAAGAAAAAGTAACACAGAAATACATAACTAAGGGTATCTTAATAAATGGAAAAAATTTTAAAGCGTGCAGATAAAAGAAAAGCAGTAAAAAAACACACTATAAATGCCTCCTTTAATAAGAATGTTTTCTTTTTCCCTGTAAAACAAACCTTAAATGTGGGGGACAAATAATTCTTCAAGAACCAGAATTTCACAGGAGTCTTGGTATTCTTCAGCACTGACAACATCATTATACTGCCAAACAAAAACAAATAATAACGTTCCAATGCCTTTTAACCTCAGGACTATAAAAGTACTGCCAATTACGAGATAGCACAGCAGAGCTAACTCAAGACTGTTAGGCAAAGGGAGACCCCTAATAATGGCAAATGCACTTATTCCTGCCTATAAATTTACTTTGATACTTGACAGAAACAAATGTTAGTTCTGTTGCTCCTTCCAATAAATTGATTTATGAACTGATACATCAATTATGGTACAATAACGGTTGTAAGCTAACTACGTCACTCTTAGCACACCCCTGTCAAGCCACAACAGCATGTGGTGCTGAGGAAAGCACATGTATGTGGATGGCATTCCTCAACCTGGACAGGGAGCCCTGCCAGGGGAAGACCAGAGAGGGAAGGGAGGCCAAAGGGTAAGGCTTAGCCTTAAATTAAATTGATCCCATTGCCATTATTTTAGTTCTGACTCTTTCTTGGAAATAAAGGGCTAAAAATGAATAAAAGGGTATTTTAATTTTATTTTCTATATTAGGGTTGTGGCATAAAATTAAGAGTCCTAGCAATCAGGAAAGTGGCTCTCAGACATAGGTGTGTTTTCAGAGTTGAGCCCTCCAATACCTTCCCTTCTGGTGGCCACTAAATCAATTAGTCTGAGCCTACAGCCTCTCCTACCTCTGGCAGTGTGACGAGTCAAGTTCCTTTTTACCTGGGTCTCACTTTATTTATAAAGCAGAAGTATTCTTACATAAGGACTAAGATCTCTCCTGCCCCTAATAGCCTATGGATCTGTGGGAGGTGGTGAAGTGTTGCACAGTGCGGTTATTCTATTCTCTAGGTCAATCTCCTGACTTTTGGTTTAAGCAATCTTCGGTGGCCAACTAAATACACTCTCTATAAAATGTGTATGTGATATTAAAGTTCTGCAGGCGTAACATCTACAGAGGCATTCATTACCTAGCCAAATGTCAAGGAGTTAAACAGATCAAAACAGAGGATTACACAAGGCAAGTTATTCGTAGTTCTCAAAGTGCTCAAATAACACATAAATATAATGAAAAGAATCTTACAAAACCTTTTCTAAGTAAGACTACTGTGGCAAATTCATTAGCATACACCAAATAATCAACAAGACTGACCGAAGAAATCTTTCGTAGAGATGTCCAGATGCAACAGAGAAGATATTAATTATGTCATCTTTATCTTGTTTCACCTCCTCAGTCTTTTGTCCTCCTGAAAAGCCCCTATAACAACGGAGGTAAAAACAGTACCCCTTCAAGTTGTGGCCAGACACACAGTCCTTTAAGGAGAGAGGAAAATGATGGTGCCTTCCTGTTCCCATCCTACCACAGCAGGTGAGATCTGGTAGGAGCGGCACAAAGCACCCAGGGCCCTGCAAGAGGGGATACTTAACAATGCCACCCCACAAGGAAAAGGAGGATGTGCCCTCCAAGGCATCCTGTTGCTTCAGGAATAGAGGGAACACAGGCTGCTCCACAGAACACGCAGAATGAACTAGGCAGTCACCAAACACCTCTCCAAAGAGCAGGCACAGCCCAAGGAGATTCAAGAAGCAAGTTCACTAGTAGGAGACAGGAAGCTCCTTTAGGCAACTGACTGGGAAACACCACCCCCAAACATAAGTGCAAGATTTGGCTGCATAAAGAACATGAAAGATCCAGATAGGACACTATTCAAAAGAAAGAGGGTGGATGGTACAGTTTTTCCTTAAAAATGTAGCTTTTTAAAAATGCCAATTTACCATTTGAATGAGTCCCAAAATCCAGATTCATTTTCATTTGTTCCATCACTCAGCAAGTCTTCGTTCACCATGTCTGCCTTCTTCTGAACCTGCAATCACACGGGGTGGGTCTTACTCTTCCCAGTAGGTCTAACGGATAAAACTGCCTTGCACTGGGTGGACACTGTGAACACTGGTAACGATAGGAAATTATCAACCAGTTCCCCACAAGCTGATACAACTCTCCAGAGTCCATCAGCATTCAACAGAAGTATCTTTAGGGGATGGAGAAAGATTTCAGATGTGTCACGTTCATGCACCCATTCCCCACAAGGAATGTAATCATTATTACTGCCAACATGTACTAACAAAAATAACATTTGAAAAAAAAAGTCCTGAATTTCTTCATTAGGATGGTCACATCAGAATATTAAGTAAGGGGATAGTAACCTCTTTTATTTAAGCAAGGACCATTTTTAGTTTGTACAATGAGCAAAGAATCTCAAATTCAGCCACGTAGAAAATACAGCCTGAGTAAATACAGTAGCACATTTCACTAAACTTAGTGCAGGGGAGGAGCACAGCATACTAGAATGGTTGAGAAAAGGTATTTCAGATCACAACCTGTTTGCAGGACTTGCTAACACAAACACAGGTTGAATCTTGTCCATGGCACAATTTTCTGCCCATCACAGATGGATGACAGTAGGGTTTGCTGTCAATAATACATTTTACTTTAAGGCACTAAGAACTCTAAAATGGGGAGGACAGAAAGAAGAAATTAACACAGAACTATCACTTCACTGTTGGTACTTTCATTAGCATTTTCCCCACTATTCTGAAAATAAAATCATTAATACTATTATGGATGATGGTGATATAAGCAAAAGCCTCTAAGGGAACACTTTTATTTTTAATAAAGTGGGACTGGACTTGCTCACTGAGATTACCCAAAAGGTGTTAAGTTTTTTGTTGAAGCAAGACATAAATTCACACTTACAAAACTTGTGCCTTACGGAACTATTCCCATAATTGCTATGGTGAATTCTATAGAGTGTTGGGCTGGTTTATAGAGTTGTTGTCCTCCTTATCTTCAGGGGATACCTTCCAAGAGCCCCAATAGATGCCTAAAACCTTAGTACAGAATCCTGTCTACACTGTTTTTACTTACACATACATACTTACGATAAAATTTAATTCATAAACTAAGTACAGTAAGAGATTTATGACAACTAATAGTAAAACAATTACATTATATATTGTAATACAAGTGACTGTGGTTGCTCTTGTAAGAGTCAAGACAAAGAGAAGTATTTTCAGCCTGTGGCTGGCTGCTTTAGGGTAACTGAAACCTTGTAAGGAGAAACCACTGTCTACATTTTACAAGATGACTAACGAATAACAGAACACCACTACTTTGAACAACTATAAAAGAATGACTGCTTTAGTACAGCAAACTCACCTTCACTTTAATAATTTTGCTTCTGAAGTTGTTGAGGATGACAACCACCTCATCGGCCTCCGGAGGAGAATCTGTACCATCATGGCTTAGAGAGGAAAGCAAGTAAGACACTAAACATCACAATTCTCAAAGTACAATAAATCCTTGGACAAAAATCTGCCACATCTGTCCATCACTTTTGGCAGACCCAATTATTTGCTCAGAACCTATAGGAAGCCCTTTTAAGCGGCACACAAGCACTTTCCAAAATCTGTATATGGGATCAGTATCCCAACTTCCTGAGTCCTTCCCAGCTGCCCAGGGTCAAGTGAGGAGCTCCTGTGCCTGGCAAGCACATGGTAAGCACTGAGGAACTGAGGGTGCTTATGGTTTCTTCTGCTCTTTTTATTTTTTTAATTGGTTATGGGGATTAACAGGTTTCAACATACTTTGATAATTTTAACAAACCCCAGCCCCACCCCGCCCCCTCCCTTGCTCTGGCCTTCCCCCAAGTTTCACATTTTGGGAGGGGGTTCAATGTATATAACGTATTTTGGTCATATCCACTGCCCTTGTTTGTAGGTCTGAGACATACACAACACTCTGAATAAAGGGGTTGGGGGACCCGTTCTGAACCATCACTGGAGACAAATCTCATCTTTTTTTTTTTTTGGTCTCTTTGAGACAGGGTTTCACTACACAGTTCAGGTTGGTCTTGAACTCACTTTGTACTCCAGGCTGGCCTCAAACTCACAGTGATCCTCCTGCCTCAGCCTCCCAAGTGCTGGCATGTGCCATGATACCCGGCAACATCTATTCTTTTAAGTGAAACAGTTTTATGAAGAAATCTCTCTCCTCCTGTCTGGGGCACTTGACCAGCCAATTTAGTGCCTCTAGCAAGAAGAACTATAACCAGCTCTCTTTGCAGGCAGACAATTGCAGAAGAGTAAAAATTTAAAATAATATTTTCCTATTAACCAATTATAATGCCTAAAATTTCAAGGTGTAGGAAGTCACAATAACAATATGAATTTACTACATCTGCTGTCACCAGGAGAGAAAGGTGCTCTTCAAGCCAAAGCAAGGTTCTGGCAGGGAAGAAGCCTCAGGAATGAACCACTCTGGACTCAGGGGGCACAGCCAGGAAGAGGTGGCACTACAGCTTGTGGGACTGGAGGACAGGAAAGGAAGCACACGGAAGGCATAGAACTTGAAAGCAAAATTAAAATTTTGCGCTAAGTGGAAAAAAACCTAGTTACAATAAAGATGTTATAATCCAAAACTGTCCTATTTCCTGAGTCAGAAATCAACATTAATGTACACTGCTTTCATATTTGTTAAGGAAGATACTATGGAGCCAACATAATGACACACAAGAGAGCATTGCAAATAAATGCTGGTGAAAATTATTCCCTAAATAAATTCGTAAATTTTGTCATATAACTTTCTTTTTTTTCTGGTACCGGGAACCAAACTCACAATCTTGCACTTGCCAGGCAGGCGCTGTGCCGCTGAGCTAAATCCCCACCCCCTTTTCATATAACTTTAGATTATTTTATTTTTTAAATTTTTTTTTTTTTTGTCTTTTTCAGACAGGGTCACGCCAAACAGTTCAGGCTGGCCTTGAGCTCACTTTGTAGCCCAGGCTGGTTTTGAACTTGCAACGATCCTCCTGCCTCAGCCTCCCAAGTGCTGGGATTACAAGACTGTGCCATCACACCCAGCTTAGATTATTTTAAATTGACGAGGCAGAAGACAGACCAAACTTCTTTAAAGGCAGTGTGTTCCCCCTGCAACACCGGCAACTGACATCGCACATTCTAGGCAGGCACTCTAGCACTGAGCTCCATCCCCAGCCCTTTTTATTTTGAGATACTGCCCTGCTGAGTTGTCCAGATTGGCCTAGAACTTTCAATCTTTCTGCTTCAGTCTCAAGAGTTGCTGGGATTATAAGCATGGGCCACCAACCCCAGCTAACAGGAGTGTAATTTTGCCTGAGGCAAAAACCTGGTTACTGGCAAAATAATCTAGTGTGTTTCTATATCACCACAGCCCAAGAAAGGCTGGAACTGAAAAGCCTTTATGATCTAATTTTATAAGTACTATGTACATGTAAATCATTCAGGGCCAAGACACATACTCTTTGGTTTGATTATTCTTTCCTTTCTTTCTGAGACAAGGTCTCACTATGTAGTTCAGGCTGGTCTTGAACTCACAGCAATACTCCTGCTGGGGTTACAGGTACATACCACCATGCCTGGCTGTTCTTTATTTTTTTTCTCCTTTCTTCAAATGACAAAATTTCTAATCTGCCTATGGTCTGCATCACTGAAAGAACAATTTGATTCTGGGATAATGTTAGCACAAATGAATTAATGGAGAATAAAACTTGACCAAACTTTTAACATTTATACTCACATAATTCTTTTCTAACAATTCTACTAAATTTGCTTTTCTGGAAAAGTACTGTTCTATCATATATATGACTGTAACTTAAATTTATGATGCCTGGAAAAATGCCAGGTAATATCCAACTAGAGCTGATTCTCATTTCAAAATGTATGGAACAGTGCACTAGCATCAACTCATCCTACCTGTAGATTCTATAAATATCTTCAGAGCGTCCTTTCCTAAGTCTGAGAATCCAAGCTCCTGGGTTGGCTTTTAGCTGAAAGTAGCCCTAGGATAAAAAGAAAAGCCAGTTCTCTTTTATAACATAAAAATGCTATTTCTTAGAAATAGTTACATCACCTTCTGAAGTATTAGACACCTGGATAACTTAAATAAGAGAGTTAACAAATCAGGGAAATGCAGAAAGTACAACAATAAAACTACATATTAGATACGCTAGGAAAATACATGCCAAGCAAGCCATAAAGTCCACCCCACAGCTGGGCGCCAGTGAAGATGCAATGAGTGACGGCTGAGTGAGCTGCCAACTTCGTAAAGAAGACAGCGAGGCAGGCAGCTCAGGGGCAATGCATTTCCAGGGGTTAATCTGTTTAGATCAGTTTTGTTTCTTCTTTTAAGCAGATATGTACTTCCAAACTTCACATTTAACCAAGCTAATGATTTTTATATGGACCACATTCAGCCAATTATGAATTTTAATCTTGCTCTGTAGTTTAGGACACTAACTGTTCCACCATAAATTATAACTCCCAAATTAACTTGACTGCCATATCACTATTTGATGTGTTGATTATTTACCAGATTGGCCATAACAATGGTGTCCACAATGACGGGATTGGCTGAAGTTCCTAAGGTAAACTGTAGTCCTCGTGGGGGTTGGCCTGTGGTGATGTCATAGCAATGCCCTTCTAGTAACAGGTACTCCAGCTCATACTCAGCAGCCACTACACTGTCCACCTGCAAGACCAAAACAGATCACTTGAAAGCTACTCAGCAGCGAAATCTGAAAGGTATGTTGCAAAGTGAATGAGGCAAACAAGAAGACTTGTATACTGCAGGATCATACTGTAAGAAATTTCAGAAAAGGCAAAATGACAGTGACAAAGAATAGGTCAATCATTCACTGTGGCTGGGTGGGGTGTTGCCTGCAAAGAGGTATAAAAGACCTTCTTGGGATGAAGGAATGCTCTGTATCTTGATTATAATAGTGGTTAATAACCATATAATTATAAAAACTGGGTTGGAAGAAGAAAGGAGAAGAGCAAATAAGGAGGTCATTCCAAAAAAATACATGGAACACAGACAGGGCTCCAGATACTTAAAAAAAAAAATAGAGAACAAAATAAATAACCATCCTGTATTACAAACAAGATTCACAGCAACATTACTCCTAATAGCCAAAAAGTAGAAACAACCCAAATGACCAGTGGATAAAGTATAGCATAAGCATACAGAGGAAAGTCATCTTGCACGAAAAAAGAATGAAACACTGATACATATTACAGCATGTTTAGACCTTGGAAATCATTTGTTAAGCAAAAGAAGCCATTCATAAAAGACCACATGTTGTATGATTCTATTTAAACAAAATGTCAAAACAGGCAAATCTACAGAGGTAGAAGGTAGACTACAGTTGGCAGGGCCGGGAGAAGGAGCATGGTGCTAATGGAGATGAAGCTCCCTCTGGGTCATTGAAAACACTAACTTTACATAGCAGTGATGGCTGCACAGTTCTGGGAATGTACTAAGACCTCTACCCTATACATTTGGGAAGGCAGCCTTTATGGTATACAAATTACATCTGAATACAGCTGTTATATCCTTACCTCTTCTAAATAAATATTATCAAGATCATACGGTGTTCTGACAGATTCTACCATCCAACTCTCAGGTGTATTTAGATTCAAAGTGAACAATGGAGACTGCGGCATATCCAAAAACTTTGCTATTGGACCCTTAGCAAAGTTATTATCTGATGTGAAAGAAATCTCTGGTTCTAAGACGTAACGGTAAAAGCTGAAATTGAAAATAGAAGTGTTAGATTTCTTCTGTGTAACTACAGATTTTGAGTTTCTCTTAAAAGCCAAGTCCTAAAATGGTGATTGGGTTCTTACACAGCCCTGAAAACACTGTATGTAATAAATTTTGGGGGAGGGCCGAGGCATGGGATCTCACTATGTAGTGTAGTTCATACTGGCCTTGAACTATGTAGCCCAGGCTAGCCTCAAACTCATGGAGATCCTCCTGCCTCAGCCACCTAAGTGCTAAGATTATAGGCATGCACCACCACACCTGGCTTGTATGTAATAATACGTGTGCCACTACACCTGGCTTATATGTAATATAAACATTTCTTTATACAAGACCATGGCAAAACCTGCAAAAATTTTGGTCATTTATAAAAACAGTTTCAATCCATTTTGAATCAAAGCTACAGAACGTAGCGTATTTGCAAATGAGTAATTTTCTGCCACTACAACAGGTGCTATACTATAATTAACTGATTTTAATGTTACTTTTTCCATAAATGACCATTTCAAAGCTTATGACAATATAAAAAGCTAAGCCTGATCTCTTTTTTCAAAACTGTACATGCAAATAAACCTAAGCAAGGTTCCTCTAACATACATACTGCAAGTGAAATGCCTTGTCTTCTTTTAAGGTGAAACGCACAGTGCAAGTAGCCTGAGTTAATGCCACCTAAATGTTCCCATGTCCACACTCTTAGAACTTTGATTAGACAAAAATTGGCAAGTTAAACATTCAATAAATGCTTTTTTGAACCTGATGTCCACCTAAACCCAGAGAACTCTTCAGCATTCAACACTCCTTTTGGATTTCCCAGTTTCTTAAATAATATGTTTTACCTTTTTAAAGGCATGTCCGAAAGTTTAGACTGACAGTTCATAAACACCCTTAGATTCATGTTTATCAGCTGAGTCAAAACCTAAAAGAACAAACCAGAAGACAGATTAGATTTTCTCTTCAGAAGTTACTTGACACTGAGTTAAGAGAGACAACATTTTTTAATATCTTAAGGAAGATTTAGAAAAATAGTAACTGCCATAAAATCTACACTGAAAATTTCTGGAAATCATAAATTTAGTGCAGATCTAAATCATTCAATTATATCACCTGCCCTCCGAGAGACATAGATAGAAAGACAGACACACAGACACACACAGATCACTATTTCTCACATAAAGAATCTGTAACACGAAGTCAGGGGGAGCAACAGGTAGGCAATGAGCATCTACCGAACCAAAGAATATGTAAAGGCTCAGTGCTACAACTCACATAAAGTATGAAAAAACCATAAACACAAATACAAAAACTTCAGATGATTGTACTTCAATAATCTTAAATAATCCAAGTAAATGACTGTTTTTGGAAGAGCTTTTTTAAATGTACATAGGATTGTACATCTTACATATCTCAAAAATACATAAAAGACACGTTTCAGAGAAAAGGTCCACGGTGGTTATAAAAAAAGGAAAATGAAAGAAGTAGAACTATTTCACTTTTTTACTTCTTTGCCACTGGAAATTACAGCATTAATGAATTTAATTTAAAGATATTTTGCTCTAAATGAGGATATTAATCATTTTTAATTATAAGAAGTAGCCAACTTTTTCTTACATACAGCAAAATTTATTCTGAAATGTTCATTTAGTTTGTTGAGAAAATGTGTACAAATTGCTAAAGTTATAAAATTGTTTTCAGAGTCATTATCAATCTTTATGAAGGCCACTTTGCCTGAGACACCCTGTGCCATTTACCAGTGCCCTTAAAGATGACTACATGACAAAGGGTGAGCCCAGAGAATGCCATGGCACATGGCTACTTCTGACAGATGATGTGAACTGCCTCTGCATCGGTCCTTACCAACAGCAAGGGAGCAAGCCTTTGTGCTTCTCTGGTGACAGGGTCAACAACAGCCACAACATCAAAGTATGTCTCCCCTTCCTTTGGCCTCAGTTTAATTGCACTACAAAGATACAAAAGATAAAACATTAACAAGAGAACAGGAAACCAAGTTAAGTTACAGTTGTGGTTGTTGCTGTTGTTTTGCCCAGTACAATAACCAATCAACCCTCTTAGCATTTCAAAAATCTTTTTTTTTCTTGTTTTTTGAGATAGGATTGTTCTAGATAGTTCTAACTGGCCTTCAACTCACTATGTAGCCCAGGCTGGTCTTGAACTTGCAGTGACCTTCCTGCTTCAGCCTCCAGAGTGCTGTATTATATAGCACCATACCCAGCTTTTTCTATTTTATCAAAACACTTTAGGTTTAGAACAATAGGTCACAACAGTCAACTATTGGATTATCTCTAGCCAGGTGTGGTGGTATACCCCTGTAATCTCAGCACTCGGGAGGCTGAGGCAGAAGGATCCCAGTGAGTTCAAGACCATCCTAAATTACACAGGGAGACCCTGTCTCAAAAAAAAACCCAAAAGAAACCTGAATAAGAAATGACATTTTATTTATCAAGAGGATCCACCAGTTTACTCAAGCTATTCTTTGCTGCTGGACATTTAGATGACTTTTAACCTAAAAATAAGTTTTGCATCCAGCTCTGTTCATATAACAAATTTCCTCAGGGGAACAAGTGCTAGACATGAGATTATAACCACAGGATACAAACATTTCAGAGGCAAATATGTACTGTGAACTTCCTTTTCCTAAAAAACTAAAGCAATCTACATGCCAAAAAGTAAACTCCACCACATCCTTGCCACCACTAAATTTGTACATATTGTGATGGTTAATTTTTATTGTCAATCTGACTACATCGAGGAATTAGGAAATTAGTGAAGCACACATTTGGGCGGCTGTGAGCGTGTTTCCAGGGATAAATGGCATATGGGACAGCAAACTGGGGGTGGAGACCTGCCCTGAATATATGTGGTACCATCCAATGGGCTGGGGGACCAGATGGAACAAAAATAGGAGCAGGAAGCTGGCCAGACTTCCCATTCTGCTTCCTGGCCTCCATGAGGTAAGGAGCATTCCTATGCTTTGTCCCTCCACTGTGACGTCGCTGCCTTAGAAGTGAAGGCTCTGAAACTGTGAGCCAAAATAAATCTTTCATCCTTCAAGTTGTTCTCAGGTATTCTGCTACAGCAACAGATTGCTGACTAATACATATTCTTTTCTGTTTTCAGGTGCACAATGACTCTTAAGTTTTGGTTTTAACTCTAGGCCCCTTAGAAAGAAACACGTTTACCCACACAGAGCTTCCTACTACCTTCTAGCTACAGAGCTTCCCTCTGAAGTCACATTTACACAGGTGACCTAAGAGTAATCAATTTGGAAGGATTTAAAACTACTCAATGTTCCAAATCATTAACTGCTTTATTTCACCAGCTGGCCACTAACTAGTCTTTTATGCAAGAACATCTACCCAGTAGGATTTTTTTTATAAGTATAATACAAAGCAAACATAACTAACAAAACTGGGCAGCCATAGCTTAGATGCCAACTGAAGTTATTTCAAATTATAACTGCTTTAAAAATAATCATTCCTTTAGAATAGCTTTGTAACTATGGTATAGTACTGCTTACAATCTCTGATAATATTAACAACTCTAGATTCAATCACTTTCAGTGACTATTCTAATATAATAAAAGGGTTTTTTACTATAATATAGCTGTTCTCCAAGTGTGGTCAAGACCAGGAGTGCTAGCTCAACTTGGTTTATCTGTTAGAAGCAAACTTAAGCTCAGACTTACTGAATCAAAAACTCTGGGGGCAGGTCCAGCAACCTGCATTTTAAGCTCCTAGAGTAAGAGTCAAAATTTGAGTGCCACTTCCTAATATAATTTGTAGTTTTGCACTACCTTAGAATTCTAGAAGAAAAGCTCATTAGAAAACAAAAGCATTATGGAGGGTCTCTACCAGGCCTCCTGGCTGATTGAGACATGTTCTGACTAGCACAGTGGCATAGGCAGTCTTCAACAGAAACACTCTGGAACTGACCCTCTGAGTGCTTTAACCAGTCTCATATTCTGTAACAAGAAAAAGAAACCCAAGCAAAGAAAAAGATGGATGTGGATTTTGGAACAACATGAACACTATTTTTAAGAATATTTGTTCCACTGGTAAAAGTAAAGCCCAAAGTGACGAAAGAATGATTTGGAGATCATATACATTTGTCTACAGTAAAGCAAGTGTCAAAAAATATAGTATTTCCTACCACGAATGTTCACAGGAGTCCTGTGAAGATGCAGATTTACTGTAGGTCTGGGGTAGGACCAAGGACTGCACTTCTGACAAGCTCCTAGACAATGCCCTGCCACTGGCTGATCCATGGACCACACTCAGAGAGCCTGCGTGTACAGAACTGGTAATTCAGACCTTTTTATTTCTAGTATAAATGAGAAACTTCTGATTTACATATGACAAACACTCATTTAGCTAACACATTTTAATAAGAGGAATTTCTCTAATTATAATTTGGATCATAATAGAATTTGTAATTAAGGCATTTTAATTATGTAAAATTTCAGGAGGCTTGTGAAGAAAAAGGATATTCTAAAATAAGACAGATCTCTGCTCAGGACTCACCATCTTGATTATGAGGCTACAAGGTGGGAGGCTACTTAGGAAGTTTTTTTTTTCTCTCTAGTAACTAGATAGTAAGTTACTTCCTACACGTATGCAAGTGCTGGTGGCAAAATCCAACAAGGTTTATCCAGAAGTTCTCACCCACTGGTGACATGAGAAATAAGAAAACATAGCCAATGCAAGCCTGTAATTATCAAACAATCTGACCAATCTGACTCCACCAAGATTGGCTGTGAGCAGGGGGCTGGGGATTTAGCTCAGTGGCATGGTGCCTGCCTGGCAAGCACAAGGTCGTGAATTCAATTCCCAGTACCAGAAAAAAAAAAAAAAAAGATTGGCTGTGAGCAAACACAAGTCCACTAAACCATAATGCAATCCATGCTGGACCAGTCAGGTCAGAATCACAAAGCAGTAGCACAGAGGCATGTGCATTTAAAGCCACCCTAGGAATTCTGAAGCATAACTGAATTACACACTTGCCAGGCAATTGTACAGTGTTCTACCTAAAAACTACGTCTAGTCACAGGGAAACAACTAAACTGTAGGACATTCCACAAGACAACTGGCCTAGACTTTTAAAATATATCAGTGTCATAAAGGACAAAAGACCAGACAAAGAAAGGAAAAACAAAACAAAACAAGCCCAGGAACTCTTTTAAGATTAAAGGAGACTAAAGAGACACAATTAACTGCAATGTGTGTACTCAAGACCTAAACAAACATAAAAAGCACTATAGAAGGGCATTACTGGGACACACAACATGTGAATAGGGATTAAATATATTAACATTACTGAATCAAGGTTAAATTTCTAAGCTGTATGCTGGAGATTATCCACTGAAGATTTTAGACTTATTACAATGAAGCCTATGTCCTTTCAATGGTGCAGAAAAGGATGTGAGTACATGTGCTGTATATATAAACACAAAAACATTATATGCACTACACACATGGATGAAAGATAAAGCAAACATGGCATGCCAATAACTGGTGAATCTAGGTTGAAGATATCTGGGGGCTCCTTGTAAGTCTTGCAACTATTTCTATACGAGAATCTTTCAAACTAAAGAACTAAAGACCAGGCATAGTGATGCACTTCTGTAATCCTAGCACTCAGGAGACTGAGGCAGAAGGACTGCTGTGAGTTTAAAACCAGCCTGGGCTACCTAGCAAAACCCTGTCTCAAAAAAAATCCCAAAAAACAAAAACAAAGCAAAACAAAACAAAAAACCCTAAACAACGAAAAGGCAATGGCTCATAATAATTGTTTCATTTTTCTTTAACAAAAAGTTTTCAAAAGGACACATGAGACAGGTATTTGAACAATCTGTTTATTCTTAAATACCAGAAAATTAGAATTAGTCTGTTTCATACATGCTGTTTGTTCTCTAAAAGGATGAATTCAGAATTATTTAGAAATAAATGTCAACTTTCATACAACTGAGAAATATATATGAATTTTTTTAAATGAACATTAATATACAAAAACTGTACCTCAAACCAGTTTTTCTTTTTGTACAACTTTTTTTTTCTCTTTGTACAACTTATGTGCAAACCTTACATGGAAAAATAAAGGAGTACGATAAAGAAACATTTAAGTAAAAGTTTAATATTTAGGAAAACAAATTCAACATGAATTATGTACCTGTGTCTGTCTTCAAAAAATTGATATTCAATTCTTGCATCTCCTTTGGGTTGAGCTGACAGGAGCGCATCTACCTTCATTACCAAGTCACTGGCCCTGAAAGATGGGGTTATGAAATCTTTGCATCTCTTCAACTGAAGCTTTTTCAATTACTGCCAAAGGTATCAACCCAAATACTGAATACTGACAAGATGTGGTTTAGAGACTGTGGTTTAAATACTGACAAGAGTGGTTTAAAGAAAGCATAAAGTCTATATCAAAAGGCATGAGAAAAAGTACTGACTTTGTAAGTGATTTGTTGTACAATCTTGAAAACATTATTCACTTTTCTGGGCAGTGCAGACACTATCTATGTGTCAGACCCTTGTAAAAACTGTGCTGGTTTAATGTATCAGGCACCCAGCTCAGCTGACTTAAGAGTAGGAAGTTGGTATTATTTATACTCATTTTGCCATCATTTAAACAATGTTACAATTTTTGTATTTATTAGAATAATAATTGATTGGAAAACCACTGAGAAAAAATACAAAGGAAAAACTGACATTTCATATCATTATCAAGACATAAGTTAGTTCATAATTCTATATTTTTAAATAATATGTAAACAAAGATATATACTACTTTGTAAGCTGCTTTTTAAATTTATAAAAATAATGATTAATAAATATAGCATATGTCATTATTTTAGAGGCTGCAAATGTATATTTATGACTATATCATAGTCTATTAAACCAACCAGTTACTGAATATCTGAAGTTATTTTTAACTTCAACGTTACAATCAACAATACAGTGAACAAGTTAGAAAAGTATCTGTTTCCCCCAACCCTTCTAAAATTCATTTTTAACAAGTGAAGACCTTGAATTAAATCATGAACCTGAAAAAAAATATTCTTATTTGTCAAACTGAAGACAAGAGCCCTTCTGGCTATACTTCAGCAACAGCAATCAAGCTTATACATTGCTTCTTTGAACCAAAATACTATATCAAATTATCTCTTTTGACTTAACTTCTTAATGTTAATCTTGACTACAGTAATGACCATTGATTGCTGAATACGGTGTGTCAACATGATCACAAAACATGTCAAGGGCCACATGGTGATGTGGACAGGGGGGAAGCAGGCCACAAGCAACTTCCTAGAGGCTTATGAAGCGCAATGACAAGGAACACACAGCTAAGCTCTGGAAAGCCAGGGACAGCCATGTCATGGAAGTAGGCTAGGTCAAGAATGAAGCTGTGTCTGTAACACAGCAGCAACTCCAAGCTAGAACAAACAGCTCAAGTGTACCAAAACCCCTAGGCAGGCAAAGAAATTTTGTGAACCCTATGGGTTTTACATCAATCTCTTGGCAGCAGCAATACCCAACTCACTGTCACCTACTGGTAACTGAAGGAAAATAACCATGTAACCTGCCTTTACTCTCCCAAACAAAATAAAACTGAATGATAACCAAACAGATAATGAGGAAGTTTCTCTTTATGTAAGTATTCCAGGTAAAAAGGTAACTACACCTCTATTTTCGCATGTTTGAAATTTTCCAAAATCAAAAGCTAAAACAAAAACTAAGACAATTCAGTTCTTTAAATAGCAGCCCATGAAATAAATTAGTTTAAAAAAAAAAATTAAACCCTATTTATAAAGCAGGAAATAAAACTTCCTGGACTAGGTAGTTATGTGACATGATCAATGAAGAAAGTCATCAAATAATATCACCTCTATGCCATGAACTACTTTCTTCTATGGCAAAACTTACACATCTTCTTCTACCCGAAGCTGCTGAATATGAGATTTTATTTTTTGTCCTGAAGTTTTCAAGATAATATTTTCTAGGAGGTGGAAATCATCTTGATTAAAAATCTCACTATCCTCCAGTGGCCCAATGATCTGTAAGATGAGGAACAAGTGGTCAGAGCTGGAAAACTGTCCACCAGCAGCAGCTATAAGGAATGCTCTGCCAGCCTCAGGCTACTTTACACACCTAAGCACTGGAAAGATGGGAGAAAGATACACATCTAAATAAAATTAATGGATGAATAAAAAGTAAAAACCTCAATCAACTCACAGTTATCTGTTTACTTAGGAATTCTTCAGGTACAGAGTAGAGTCTAGACTTAATTTACATTATTTTCATAGTACACAAACTCTGAAGTAAATAAAATAGCAATGTAGTTTTCCATTATGTCTTCTTGAATATCAATGACAAAGCCCACTTTACATGTCAAAAGGCTATGATGCCTGTTCTGAGAGCCACCACACTCTCACTCCTTCCACAATGGCAGGACACAAATAAACAGGAAGAAATGTTTATGTCAGAAAGCACACTGCCTGGGAAATAAGGGGCAGAAATATCATTGCACTTCAGAAGCCCTAATCACCTTTGAATAGAGGGTGGCTCTGCTGGAAGAGTTTACTAGCTTCAGAGGAGCATGCTGCAAAGACTGTTCACGGACCTAATCTGAGTCAAGCTTGTGTCAGCTTGACAAGTCCTCACCCTTCCGTTGCTGATCACTGCCCTCTGTCCCTTCTTCAGCTTCAGGACATCCCTGCAGTACACGGCATGAGACAAAATGAAATCCATTTGGGAAGATTCAAACACCTCTTTAAAAAGACTGAAATCCATGCCCTAGGAAAGTAATCATTTTTAAGGAAAAATCATTGTTATTAAGCAAACCATATAAATGAATACTCATAAAATGAATAAATTAGAAAACACTTTTTCATGAAAAGTAAATACATTTCCCAACTAACATTATGATATTTCAATTCTTCCTCCCATTGTCCCTATTTCAGCAACTAACTGCTTATTTCCTTTCCTATTTTCATGGGATTTATTCCATTGGTGGTCTCTTCTCTATTTCTTTATTTTATACTTTTCAAATCTTGATGGCTTCAAATGACAGCCATTTTTCTCTAACTAAAACTTTAGGTACACTCAAGATTTTATAAAAAAATATTTTAAACTATAAACATTTTTTAAATGAGCACATTAAGCTGGGTGTGGTAGGGCACACCTATAATCCAAGCATTTGGGAGGCTAAGGCAGGAGGATCGCTGTGAGTTCAAGGGCAGCCTGGGCTACACAGTGAGTTCAAAGCCAGTCTGAACTACATAGTGAGACCTTGTCTCAAAAAAAAAAAAAAGAGCATATTAAATAAGTGAATAAATATGAGCTTTTACTGGGAACACATCAAGAACACACAAGCCTCTAACTCAAAAGTGAAAAAAATCTCAGTTTTTTACTCTACAAACAAATCAAATATTATCTATTTTTTACTGATGTATTTTTGTAGTACTGGAGCACAAACTCAGGGCCCTTGTCTTTTAAAAACTGTACAAAACAAGGAACTCACACATGCAAAGTATGTACTACCACTGACCTACACTGCCAGGACTACTTCCCCATTAATTTTTTAACCAAGACTCAATTACTATCACAATTCTTAAAACATTAAGAACAACACATAAAATAACAAGATCCATGCAAAATTTTAAAAAATAGTTAAAAAAACAGAGAAAAATAATTGGTGCTTTAAGAAACTTACAAAACAAATGGCACTGTATTTAAAACATAAAGTTGTATTACGCATGTCTTGAAACCTGGGCAAGCTTAAAAGTAAAAGGGAGTGTGACACAATGATTCCCTGGAAAGAGTCTTCCAAGTTAAAACAAAACCCTGAGATTCAAAACTAATACAATTCCTGATGAAGAACCATGAACTGGACACATCAGCTGTGACATGGAAACAGTCCCAGGACACCATAGAGTCTTACCCCGACAGAGAACTCCCCGATGTCAGCCCCTGCCGCCAGAGCCTCTGAAGTGTCCTCCTTGACCATCTTGGTGATGAAGTTCTTGGCAGAGTTGGAGGTCTGCGTCTGGAGAGCTGCCCAGATCGCTCTGGAGATCTGAGTGTGCTCATAAGTTATTTCTTCACTGGGGTTATTGATTATGCTGATTCTCACATTGTTACTGGATTTCTATTTATAAATAGAAAGAGTTATACAGTAGATATCTCGAACTTCAAAGGCAGCACTGACATCAGTCACATTCCATAAGTAGCAAAAAATCTCCCTCTGCCAAGTTTTTAGTAGTTCTCTGTGTCCAGAAGGAAATTCAGAAGCTGCAATCAGGCTTTCAAAACCCTGTATGACCTGACTCCAGCCTTCCTTTCCAACACCATGCATTTTTCTGGGGTTTTTTTTGTCTTTTTGAGACAGGGTCTCACTATACAGTTCAAGCTGGCCTTGAGTTCATTTTGTAGCCCAGGTTGGCCTCGAACTCACAACAATCCTTCTGCCTCAGCCTCTCGAGTCCTGGGATTATAGGCGTGGGCCACCACACCCAGCTTCCAACACCATCTTATGAGCTGTCATACCTCTGAAGACACAATGTCCATCAGAACATAACATCAGCACAGAAACGCCCAGGAAGACAAATGGATCCTCCAACAAGAATGGAGAATTAAGTGTAGGTACTCACTTGATGTTTAATAGCATCATACAACAACTGTCGTCCAGAAGCACTATCAAAGTCCCCAACAATCCAAAAGGTTACTGGCCTAATAAAAGAATCATCTATGGGAAAATAAAAACAAATTGAACTGAAGGAAAAAGGAACATCGTCTGTTTCAATATTGTTATTAAACTACATAATTTCTAAAAAACATGCAAAAAAAAATGACTAGTTTAAAAAGAACGCAAAGATAGAGAAACTTTAGTAAAATTAAAACAGGGTAGCCTTCCAAGTGGCTGACTTAGGAACATGCACTGAGTAGTTCTCCTGTGGCCTGAGGATCTATTAGCGTGTGAACTGAAAAGTGGGTAACACAGCACAGTATCATCATATTTTTATCTTCCTGAAATATTTTTCTTCACAAACATTTCTTATACAAAATTTATTTGCACTGATATAACCTACAGTTACCCACAGGTTCCAGAAACATCACAATAAAGGGTCAATAAATTCTGAATAACAATAGCTCCTGAAACCACATGAGATAATAAAGAAGAGAATATTCTGAAGTTTTGAGTTACCATAGATTTCCTTGGATGACATTCCTGGACAAGGTACAGGGAAGAGAGCAGAAAAAAAGAAAATGTCATTTCTGTAGCTAATGCCCCACTAAGAGTGCAAAGATTACATGATGACTAATGTGAACTGTATTTCTTTCTGCTCTACCAGTGCAATAGCACTGCTCCAGGCCTTTCACAAACAACTCTTTGAGGAACCCACGGGGGTCATTACCTATACATACATAAGCTCGGAAATTAGGAATCCTTCCAGGTAAAAGACTATAGCGGGATAAAAACAGCTGCCTTAAGTGACAGCTAGTACTTTTTGGAAGGGTCATAAGTGCAACCCTAATGAAGGGGAAAGAATCTGCACTCCATTTTTACTAAATAACTCTACATAAAAATCAGTTTAAAAAATTACACAAGGCTATCTAAAACCTAATTTATCTCATAAATCCTAAAATAAAATTAATCCTGTATCATCACTGAAGAGCAAATGAAAGCAATTTTCAATGCATTAACCCATTTTTACATAAGTATTTTTTATTTTGAACCATGACTTTTCTTAATTTTAATAGCTAATAAAACTTACAAAGACAATACTTGAATTTTTGAACATATGTAAATAATTATTTTCTAGACTCAAAGGATTATAAGAATTAAAAAAAAAACTAAAGAATTTCCTTCCTCAAAACACACTAATATTGAATTACACTTGCCAATCCTAAAAGACAGAGAGACACTGAATCCAAGATAAGCCCACATACAGATACCTTTCTTTGTCAGATAGTTCATACTATTGGCTATAGCAGCAGTCTTGCCTTGGGAATCCAAGACAGAAAATCTAGCATAATCATCCACAAAGAAGTTATCTGTGAAAAAAGAAAAAATTGAAATAGATGTATAATTAATATATCTCAGTTCAATCTACTATTAGTATTCAAGCTATAAACCTGCTTTGACCATACTATGAGATATACAAAAATTCATGAAGTTGAGAACATGAACTCTCATTAATTCCACTTTGAGACACAAGGTTAATGAGTAACACACATCTCACATAGCTGTCAGTCTAAAAGTTTAAATGCATCCTATTCCCACATCATTTCACAGCTGGGAACAGTCTGAGAAATCCCTACCTCATGTCTTGCTCTTAAGTCTATCTACTCTTGTATGTGCTGCCTCACCTACGGACCTGGAGGATAGAAGAAAACTCGATTTCTATTTTTCATGTCTGAGAAAATAACATTTCCTCAACTTTACCAGAAACAAAAGGTCATTGTCTCTACTTTCAGATATGTACCTTTTCTAGTAGGGCCCAAAGGCAGTCCTCTGTTCTTCATTTCCCCTCAACTCACTTCTAAAGCTGCAGTTACATCAAGCTAATCCCTTGTTCTAAACTATGCAGTAATTTCTTCCTAGCTATAAAATGGTCTCCAGTCCAGTATGATAAATCATCTGCCTGCAACAATCTCCCCTTGCCTCTTTTTTGTGCTGCTGGGAATGAGAACTAGGCCTCATACATGCTGGGTAAGCACTCTACTCAGTCTAGATTTTTTGCCCTACTTTGTTTTGGTTTTTTGAGACAAGTTCTCACTATGTAGGTCAGTCTGGCCTTGAACTCACTATGTAGCCCAGGCTGGCCCCGAACTCATACCAATCCTCCTGCTTCAGCCTCCCTGGATTACAAGAATGTGCCACCATGCCCAGCCCTCTACACAGTCTTAAGCACTGTTACAACCCTATAGACATGTTACTTTTCTCAACTGTCCACCAACCATACCTGCTGGCCCTCTCACCCATCTCCTGGTCTGTGTGTCGCTCACCTACCCATCCTTTCACTCAATAAAGCACGTGGACTGCCACCCATGTATCAGACTGTCCGTGACATGTATAGGCGAAAGAACACTATGGCTTTGAGAGTATCTATCTGGCTATGATTTAGACCTTCAATGTCTCCTCAAGGCCTATGCACTAAAGAAATGGGTGCTACGGGGAGACAGTGGAACCTTCAGGAGATGGGGCCTGGTGGGAGGAAGTTAGGTCACTAGGGGTGTGGTCTTAGAGGGTTATCAGACCTCTGCCTCTTTCAGCCTTTTTGCTTTCTGGAAGTGTCCAGGTGAGCAGCACTGCCCCACCACATGCTCTTCACCGTGATGATCTACCTTGCCACAGGCTCAGATATAAAGAGCCAACTGAACATGAAATAAAACTCCTGAAATCATGAACCAAAGTAATCCACCACTCCTTTTCAGTTGGTCTTCTCAGGTACTCTGTCACACTGATGAAAATCTGACTAACAGGTGTCTATAAACGTGGTGGGACAGCGAACACCAGAGCAACCTGGGTGATGGTGCTGCTGCCACCTGGTTAGGGGGTGCCAGGGCCTTCTCACTGACACCTGTATTGGGTTCCGCTGAGCTTGCATCTCCACTACTGTGGACCAGAACTGCTTCAGAGCTTATCACTGAAACACTCAGTGGAAAAGAAAATCCAAAATGTGCTACTGTGCTCTTCACTCATGGTTATTCCAGAATGTTCTTCAAGTTTAATTTAAAATGATAGAAACAAAGACTCAGGACAGTCCTAGTATGTTTAGCTTGTTCTAAGAAAGCTTCTGGCAATTGGTCATGAAAAAACCAGACTACTTATGGCAGTTTCTTCTTGAAATATAGGTAAATATTTATATTTCCCTGTGTCTGTATGCTTATGTATACATAAATATATATATATTTTAAAAGCAGATATTTATATTTTCCTCTGCCTAAAAGATATTCAGTTTCAAATGAATTATACAGTACTATAAACTAACAACCATAAACAGATCTACCATTAAATTACACTCAACTACAACAACAAATACAGTTGGTTACAACTGCACATGTCCTTCCTTCCCCACTGGGGAAAGTTCATCACAGGTAAGTGATGACAACTCCACCTTATTTCCAAGTGTCTGCTGATCTGGCCTTCAGAGTCTCAATGGGACACATACAGAGCAAACTGTATATGGGCTTACCCAGCTTTTAAGAGGTGTTCTTGTGGAAAACACCCAAATGCCATAGGAATGTGCTATAATGGATTCTGGGGGATGGCAGGTAGCTGAGAGTGAACTCAAAGCCTGTGCACTGAGCTACATCCCCAGCCCTTTTTATTTTTAGCCTAGGTCTCACTAACTTGCAGAGGCTGGGCTCAAACTCAAGATCCTCCTACCTCAGCCTTTGAGAATGCTAAAATTGTACACCAAGCTTATTAATGGGATATTTAAATCATTTTTAAAATATGAAATGCTGTTATACTAAAAGGATGAATTGGGGAAACATGCTAAATGCCAGAAGGCAGGTGCAAAATGCTTCAATGATAGGACATATCAAGGATAGGCAAATTCTTAGATTAAATAGATTAGTTGCTGCCAGACGATAGCAGAAATGGGAATGGAAGTAACTAGTCACGGATATACGGGTTCATTTTGGGGTGTATAATGTTCCAATGTTAGATAGTGGTGATGATTATACAACTCTGAAAATAAACTAAAAACCACTCAATTGTGCACTTCAAAAGGTTGAGTTTGGGGCTAGGGATACAGCTCAGTGGTAGAGCACTTGCCTAGTATGCTTGAGGTCCTGGGTTTGTTCCCAAACTACAAGGGAAAAAAGTCTGATTTTTTTTTATGGTATGTACATTATATCTCAAGGAAACTACTATTTTTCGCCCCAAAGGCATACTTAAGTTCTCAGGGTAAAATTCACTAAGATATTTGTTGACATTTTTGATAATGGATTCCAGAGTGAGAATGAAGAAAACTGCTTAAATGCTTTATGCCTATAGACATGCCAATAATACAGGCCCATTCTTATCCTCTAATGCCTGTTTAGCTGGAGTTTAAGTTGAACTGAATATTTTTCAAAGTTTACAAGGTTTAAGCAGGAAGACTTTATCTTCCATAGAAGGAAATTCATATGAACTTAGAAATTAAAATTATGAATTCAAGGTGAATTGAATTTAAACATAAAATTCTGTCACAATCTTGAATTATCTTCTTCCTGTTACAATCTAATAAATGCAAATAATCCAAAGCACAAATCAAAAACCATAAAGTTATTTCTGAAAGGTTCCTTACTACTTGCTGTTAAATCCAGGTATTCTCGCTCAGCTGTCAAAACCCTAGAATTGATTCGGGGAACAACATTTGGCTGGTTCATGATATACTCTACCACATCTTGATCGTGAGACAGTTCACCCTGCAGGAAAAAAGAAGCAGAGTCATGAGATGTCAGTATATATCATCAATAATAATTCACTAGAAACTAAAACATTAGTAGCTCTATAATAGCTTCTTATGTGCTGCTATCAGCTAAAGACTATTACCAATGGGAAGCAAATGTTATTCATTTTATTTTTAGTTTTTTTATTCCAGTACCAAGAATCGAACTCATGATCTTGCGCTTACCAGGCAGGCGCTTTGCCCCTGAGCTAAATCCCCAGCCCCCTGTTATTCATTTTAAAGATGGGAGGAAAGGGTACAGAAATATTAAATAACTTACTCAAAGTCACAGGCCTAATGGGATGTGAAAATGAAATGCAAACACACCATATAGAACCGCGTTTCCACAGACAAAAAGCAAGTTCTGCTAATTAGTTAAGATTAAGCATAAGCAGAAATGCATCTTAAGATCTACTCACTGACAGCTTCTTCCTAAAGCAGAACACCAAAGGCCTACTCACAAGCAGTTAATGTACTTAATGTAATGAAAATCACTCTGAGCTTTTTTCAGTCTTAGATATTTGAGTAACTCTACATTTCCTAAGCCATAATCACCCTGGGAAAAGGAAGGATCATGTGTCATTTAATCTTCTCTTTTGTGCACCTCATAGTATTATAGAAATAGCTGTGCTTCTTTAAGGTGATCTTAGGGGGTAAATGTTAATAACTGGAAATCTACAAATTGATCATAATTAAAATATTTAATATAAAGGCATATTTTAATGTCATTTTAAAGACAAAGCTGAGACTCAAACATACACATTCAAACCTAAAACATGCCAGTTAGACATTGTTTGTAACTATACCTCCCAGAAGACATGCAAATTCTCAACTGATAAACTAGTGATGATGTGAACCAGCTACACATCTCAAGACACACACACACACACACACACACACACACACACACAGAGTAGCTGTTTCTAGGAAGAAAACATAACTGGTGAGGATAGAAGTGAATGAGTGAAAGTTTCCCATTTGTATTTCTTTCTCCATTTTAAACTACATATCATCTAGCTAACATGTCTCTTTTTGTAGTCAAAATTTAGGTCAAAATTTAAAATGTGCATTACCCTCTGACACCATAATTCCAATTCCTAATATTTCTCCAAAAAAAATGAAGATATACTTATTAGCATACTCATTGTGTACATAAAAATACACAAACATACCTCCTCTAGATTGACAGTAAAGAACTTTTACTTTAAAAAAATACGTATATGAACATACATTATTTTTGTCAGGAACTTAAAATAAAACTTTTCTTTACCTAGCAAAAACCAAGTTTCTCACTGACCATACATGTTGAAGCAAAGGAAAACTAACATTCAGTCATAGAGGGGCTAATATTTATTTTTTTTAGTACTGGGAATCAAACTCAGCACCTTGCACTTGCCAAGCAGGCATTTATGCCACTGAGCTATATCCCCAGGACGAGGGGCTAATATTTTAAAATCATTACTCTTATAAACAACAGATATGTTAGTATCTGAAAAACAAGGAAAAAAGCTATGCTGATGGCATGGGGTGTGCTGTGGAAGGAATCCAGGACCACACAGAGTAAGCAAGTATTCTACCACTGAGTTATAATCCCAGCCCCATTTCTAAATTTTCATTTATAACATTGTTGAGGAAAATTTAAATATTTCTAAAATGGAGAACAGTAAATATTTTAACTTTTTATATTATTTAAATAAAACAAAATTAGTATTTCTCCTAGTTTGTTCCCAAGTTTAGACAACTAAGCCAAACTCATTCAAATAAAAATTTTGTTCTCATTCTGATAGTTCCACAAAGGACAAATTCCTTAATACAAGGGAACAAATTCAATCAAGGACTTTTATGTATGAATGTATTAATGCACAGCACAAAACTTCCCTTCTTGCCAGGCATGGTGGGGCACACCTGTAATCCCAGCACTTGGGAGGCTGAGGCAGGAGGATCACTTCAAGTTCGAGGCCAGCCTGGGTTACAAAATGAGTTCAAGGCCAGCCTGAACTGCACAATGGAATCTCGTCTCAGAAAGACAAACAAAACAAAACTTTCCTACTTAAAATTTTTTTCTGGCCTTTTTTCACAAATGATGTTGGAAAAACTACATCAACATGCAACAGAAGAACACTGGGCCCTAACCTTATACAAAAATTAATCCAGAATGGATTAAAGACCTAAAGAGGTAGAAGTAGAAAGCTTTTAGAAAACACTGGAGAAAACCTTCATGACAAAGGATTTAGTAACAATTTCCTAGATAAAATACCAAAAGCACAAAGAAGAAAAAATAAACTGGACTTCATTAAATTGAAACTTCTGTGCACCGAAGGATAATATCAGTGTGAAAAGACAATCCACAGAATGAAACATAACATTTGCAAATCATATTTTTAAGGGGTTAATATCCAAAATAAAAAACTCCTACAACTCACTAAAATTTATGTTTTTTTTTTTTTTTTTTTTGGTTTTTCTCTGGTACCAGGAACCGAACTCACGACCTTGCGATTGCCAGGCAGGCGCTTTGCCACTGAGCTAAATCCCCAGCCCTCACTAAAATTTAAAAAAAATTCAGTGTACCAACTCTCCATGATGAATGTAACTATTATGTACTGTAAACATGTACTAATAAAAATAAAAGATATATACTCTATATAAACTTTATGAAACTTATTAAGGTAATATAAAATACACAAACTATGCTCATAAAAAAAAAATGGGTAAAGACCTGAATAGTCATTTTGCCAAATAAGAAATGTAAGTGGCCAAGAAGCATATGAAAAGATGCTCAAGATCACTTGTCACAGAAGAATACAAATAAAGTCACAATGAGATACCATTTCACATCCATCAGAATGCCTACGGTATTAGCAAGGACACGAAGAAACCAGAACATCTGCGCATTTCTCTTGGGGCAGTAACACAGTGCAATGCTGTGGAAAACACTGTGGCAGTTCCTCCAAACAGGAAACACAGTATTACCATAAGACCCAGCAATTTCACTTAAAAGTGTCTGCCCAGGATTGAAAGCAGAATAGGAACAGACACTTGTACTGTATAAAAAGCAAGATTATTCAAAATAGTCAAAAGAGGTAAGGAATATTTTTCAACTTTAAAATAGAATGAAATTCTGTGCCAGACATTCTTCTGAGGAAGAGGTAAATTCATAGAGACAGACAGCAGAGTAGTGGGAACCAGTGTCTGGGAGAGGGACCAATGAATGGGGACTTACTGTTCAGTGGATAATAATACCTGTCTGGAATGATGAAAAAGTTCTGGAGGGGAATGAGGTGATGGTTGCACAGGCCTGTGACTATACTAAATGCCCCTGAATCATATACTTACAACAGTAAATTTTATATTGTATATTTACTACAATAAAAAATCTAAAAATATATATTTTGACTTAGGGTTATTATCAATGTCATTTGATATTTAAAACTATACTTGAGAGTGCCAAGATCTCTGAAAAGCCTCCCTTTAAAAGAAACTCTGAGAATACTAGAAATAGTTAAAATCAACTTTCCCAAAATTCAAGAAATTAACTAAAAGTTTGCAAACTTTTGAGGGACTTTTATTCACTAAAAAGTCTAAATCACAATGAAAAAATGGCCTTTGTAACATTTTGGGTTTTTTTTTTTTTGAGACAAAGTCTCACTATGTAGTTCAAACTCACTATGTAGCCCAGGCTGGACTCAAACTCTCAGCAATGTTCCTGCCTGAGCCTGCTAAATGTTGGGATTAAATGATGGGATTACAGGGATTACAGACGTCACTACACCCAGTCCAATTTTGTCCTATTTCTATTTACCTCTCCTAGCTGACAAAAGCCTTGAAAACCAACAGCTCAATAATAAAAGTTAAGACTAGCAAAGTAGGAACATTCCAGGGGCTTTTAAAATTTGCACCAAAGCAGATCTTAATGCCGATATCAAGGATTTTGTCAAAAACAATCAGGAGCAATTGTTTAGTATCTCAGTTGCCTGAGTTGGTAATAATGGATTAATATGATGCTGGAAAAACATTATATACAACATATAACATAATATGGAATATATAATATATATATTTGACATAAAAAAGAAAAGTATACACACAGAAAAGTAGCCAGTATACACTGTCAGAGAGCCCAAACACTGGACTTAATACACAAAGAATTTAAATAAGCTATTTTAAATATATTTAAAGAACTAAAAAAACATTGTCTATGAAAATAAAGTTTGAGAATAATTAAACATGTAATCATTGACAGGCTGGGGATGTAGCTTAGTGGTAGAGTGTCTGTCTAGCATGTCCAATGCCCTGGTTTCAATCCCCAGCACCACAAAATGAACTGTGTGTGTGTACCTCTAGTGAATGAAATATGCAGTAGAGGGGCACAATACCAGATTTTAGTTAACAGAAGAAAAAAACTCAGTGAATTGAAAAATAGATCAAGTAAGATTATCAATCTGAAAAACACAGATCCTCATGGGGCACAATAGAGCAGCGGTGGTAAACCTATAGCATCCATATTATTTGTTTTTCTTTTAAGACAAAAGATGTTAATGTATATACTTGTTTTTTCTAAGCTAAAACCTCAGTATCCAAGTTTAAATGCAGCGTTGGCACTTTATGATAAATAAGTTGATCTGGGGTTGCAGTTTGGGCACTTGTCTCTAAAAGGTTCACCATCACTGCAATAGAATATTAACATATGCATAGCTCATAAGTGGCATAGCTCATAAGTGTTAAAAAAAGAACCAGTATGTAGCAAATAACTGGGTGGCTTTTGTCCATGCTTCATGAGAGGTAACTTCACAATCCAGGGGGGTCTTTGCTATTCATAGTAGGCCCCTTAGATCACACCCGATAGTTTACACTATAAAGTGATGGAGGCTGGGTTTCTAATTTATGGTAACAAGATGAGTCACATTTAGCATACCATAAGGACCAACAATATGATTAGAACACTGAGGTTTCGAGCAGCATAATAAAGTAGCACATTGAAAATAATGATGGTTAAGAAATTTTATTATCTACTACAGAAACTACAAAAATGTAAACAAACTGTTGTCCTTAAAGACAGCCTTGGGGGCTGGGGATTTAGCTCAGTGGCACAGCGCCTGCCTGGCAAGCGCGAGGTTGTGAGTTCGATTCCCGGTACCAGAAAAAAAACAAAAACAAACAAACAAACAAAAAAAGTAAAGTCAGCCTTGAAATGTCACTCACCAAGTACACTGCTCTTTGGAAGAATGTAGTGGTCTCCAAGATTTTGTGCATTGTGATGGTTTCCAACTCATCAGGATCTAGCTGTTCCTTTTCAAAGGGGATTCCGTTGAACACAACAACAGGCAGCGGACCAATGCCAGTCTGCTCGTAGTATCCTCTTGCTTCCTAGAACACAAGAGACAACAAAACACATTTTTGCCCTCATAGCACAAATGGAACTAAGAATATTTTTCTTAAATGCCTATAGTAAGAACAACAACAAAAAAATCACAACACTATGGTAAATAACTAACAATATTCCTAAAAAAGTGACATCACAGTTAATAGTCTAATGGGTAAATTTAAGATTGAATTAATGAGATTTTCTTGTAAAACCACAAAAACTTTGCAAATTAAGAAGTGTGTGTACATGTGAGTACATGTATGTGTTGACCAGCCTGACAAAACCAAACTACATATACTATGGTCAGCATGTAAAAAGCATTCTCTGCAATGATGGAAAATTTCTGTCTGTGTTGTCCAACGCAGTGGTCACTAACAACAGGAGCAAGTGAGCATTTGAAATCTAGCTACTGTAACTAAGTAACTAAACCTTTACTTACAGTCAATTTTGGTTAATTTCCATTTAAATGGGCACATGGCTAGGGGCTACTACAATGAGCAACCCAGCTATCTGCTATAATAAATTAATAGTGCTCTTGGTCAGAATGCCCTGAACTGAAATTATTTACACCCAATTCTAAATAAATATGGGAACTGGATGTGATGGCACATGCCAATAAATCCCAGCACTTGGGAGGATCACCCTGAGTTCAAGGTCAGCCTGAAATACATAGCAAGATCCTGACAATAAATACATAAGTAAATGTTTACATTACTATCAAATAAATTGTACCCATACAAAACAAAATAAACTTTGTAGAAAAACAGTGCTCAGAAGTGCTTTAAGATAGACTAAACCCAATCTTTTTCCTTCTCCACGACAAAAGACGCTTTAGTAAGGAAATGACAGAGCAACAAAATGGCAAATGGATCTGAGGCAGACACTTTTCCTGACTGTCAACAAGGATACTGTATCCCGAGACTAACATTCCACAGTAAAAGACATAAAGACAGTCACTTTAAAAATTTTTATTCATCTTGTAACTGATCCTTTCTGAAAGCTGCAGAATTTAATTACTCATAACTTTTTGTAGACAGCACAAATAGAATAAGACTCCTATTGGTAACTGATGCCAGTCATCAATAACAGACTGTTTAGTTTCTCATCAGACCTAGTGACTGACTACATGACAGTATGTAATTTATGGGTTATAATATTGCAGAGCCCCCTAAAAGGCCTAGGTTGCCTTCAGCCATCTCTCTGTACCTTTAGGAATTTTAAATTTATACTCCCTAAAACTTTTTATTTACCATGTTAATTCCATTTTAAAATTTCAGCTATATCACAGAAGTCCCTAAAACTCAATTTTAATGTAATCTGAGCTTTGAAAACCACCTCCCTCACTCAATAAAAATAAAGGTTGGGCAATGTGGTGCCAGCACCTGCGAGGTTCAAGCAAGAGGACTCCTTGAGCCCAGGAGTTTGAGGCCAGCCTGGGCAACACGTGAGACCCCATTTAGAACAAAAAAACACCATTACATTATAAAGCTAAAAGAAAATAAAAATTAAGTAACATTGGTTTTCTCTGGAAATGGCTTTTGAATGAAGGTTAGATATGAGGGGAAGGTAGACTGACTAAACATTTTTTTTTTTTACCTCTTGTAAAGAGTTTACAAAAGGCTAACAACCAAATGCAACCCAATTACATATCAGAGTTAAGCTGAAAAACTGCTTATGAAATTTTCTATCAACAGATCACTGAAAATGTTAAGTAATGATAAATTGTTAAACACATTACAAGCAAAGTCTCGTAATGACTTTGTCACTTACAAATAACAAATGGGGTTAATAAGGATGCAAAATTAACATGCCAGATATAAAAAATATTTGCATGTGCAAGTAAGAACTTTTCTTTTTTTTTTTTTTTTTTTTTTTTTTTTTTGTGCCAAAGTATTTATTTCCAGGGACTCTGAAGACTTGAGCTCAAATTTAGATTAATGATGTCACCAGTTGAAGGTGAGTTTGGACAGTTTTAAAAAATGAGTAGAGGTTAAATTACTGTCCTTTGGGGCCACCACTCAATGCACTCCTTCAGTTAGACCAAGCATTGAGAGGAGAATTCAGATGGGATTAGCTCAGTCAGAGAAGTAAAGAAGCACAGGTAAGAGTCCATGTCTCTAACACAAAACTTTCTCTTGAACAAATATATTTACTCACTTCTGAGGATCCCGGAATCTCTCCTTCCCTATTCAGTTTAGTTTACTGTGCCCTGCCTTTACTTTCCTATCCTGTTAAATACCCAAATTATGTTGCACACGTAGTCTGAGACCTGCAGGCCACACAGGGAAGGAAGGGAGGGATTAAAAATCCCAATTTCTACCTGTTTACACTTTCATACAAGATTTCAGTTTAAAAATAAACTTCTACTTTTGTAACAACAAAAAAATCTTTGTATGAAGCCAGGTGTGGTGGCACATGCCTGTAATACCAGCACTCGTGAGGTAGAGGCAGGAGAATTATTGTGAATTCAAGAACAACCTGGGCTACAAAGTGAGTTTGAGGCCAACCTGAACTACATAGTGAGATCCTGCCTCAAAAAAAAAAAGTTTTGGCCTACTCACACTTCATTTAATTTCTTACTGCTCATTTACTCTATAGTATCTTGTAATTTCTCCCATCTCACCACTCAGTTGAAGCAATCTCTTAAAAATCACAGCTGGACTTAACGAATACAGACAGCTTTGTTCTTCTCAGTCCAAATACTTTTCCACCTCTCTGCATCACTTGAAACAACTGACAGTACACTCTTTTCTAAAAATCTACTTTTTACTTTGCCTTCTTGGGAAATCCAGTAACCTAGTTACCCTATTCTTGTCCTAAAAGCTATTTCTCTGAATTCTTCATTGAATTTCATTATTAGAACCTCTGCACATAAGTAAAGCAACAGCAAGAAGAAATTATGAACTTGAAATCTGAAGACTTGGGGCCAAACTTACACATTTTTGGATTTTCTACCAAATATATTCAAAATGTTGCATAGTCTTAAACACAATAGGGATTTAATGGGCAATTTTGGTAAAAAAAAAAAAAGGATAAAGTAATATAATGAATAAACTATCCTGAGGAAATATGTAGCATATGTTTTAAATGATAGACTCATTGACTTTAGAATGTTTTTTCATGATTAATGTTCCTTGAATTAAAATGTAGTTAGTTTGAAAACCTGGATAATCCAGTTTCATAATCCATGATACTTCCACACTGACACTATGTAAGAACACTGCAATAACCACCTGATCCAGTCAAAATACTATACTGAAGATAAGTGCTGAGTGAAACATGTCTTACTTTTTAGAGTATAATACAACAGTTTTGTTGACTGCTTATGGACAATTATTTGGGGCTGTATCCTTAGATTCTATATATTTCTGCATATCTTTCTCAAATAAACATTTGGTTCATGAATCCAGTTGATGGGTGAATTTTCATAATTCTCAACTGTCTTTTGAGCATATATTTATTTTTTTGTTTTGTTTTGTTTTTTTTTGTTTTTTTTGTTTTTCTCCGGTACCAGGAACCGAACTCACGACCTTGCGCTTGCCAGGCAGGCGCTTTTGCCGCTGAGCTATATCCCCAGCCCCAAGAAGTTTTCTTAATGTCTTTTAAAGATATATACTTCTAAACAGAATAAATTCTCTTCTACTTAAAGTATATTGTTTGCTTTGAAAAACAATTGATTATTTCAAAATCAGACATATAAGATGTAATTCAGATTTGTTAATAAAAGGCATAGATATAGATTTATAAATATAATGATGCATGCTAAAAGCAGTAATTTTTTCTAAAAATAACCATTTCACTTGGGCTTTATTGTGTGCGATAAACTTCTATAGCTTAAAAATTGTCAATCATCAGATTCTTAGGACCTCTGGGATCCTCTTCATATCACTGACTTGATAGTATTTCCTTGCCTAGCTAAGAAATTAAATGGTTTAAATATAAATAGTATGCTCTGTTCTTTAAGGACAGTTACTACAGAGGAAAAAAATGGCTATGTCTGGGAAACTACTGAGCAGCTCAGTCTGTGACAGTCCCAAATGGTTCTTCAGCAGAATCAAGATTTTCATAATATAAACATCACGAAAAGGGTACAAAAACCCTTTTCCCCAACTTGCACTGTATTCAACATTTTTCAAGAAAAGTGTGTGTGTGTGTGTGTGTGTGTATGTGTGTGTGACAGAGACAGAGAGAGAGAGGGAGAGGGAGAGGGAGAGGGAGAGGGAGAGGGAAAGAAGGAGAGGGAGAGGGAAAGGAGAGCAAGAGGGAGAGAGAAACTGGGGACTGAACCTACAGTCTTATATACTCTACTACTGTATACTTCCAGCCCCAAAGCAAATACATTTTAATATCCATAATATATAAAAGCTGCTTATACTTTTTCTTTAATAGAATAAGAGAAAATCTAAGTTAAACATTTCCATTAGGTTTTTCTTTGGCACAGGTGAGAGACGGAACAAAGATAAAATAAGTCTTTACTGCAGGTGCAGGAGGGCAGCAGAAGAATGCAAGGACCCTCAGAGGAGAGAGCTGGGGAATGGGTTTTTATCAGATTAGATTAGGGGTGGAGTTAATATTGGCAGGTGAAATGTTGTATCTCGAAAGGATTGTTGGCATAGGAACTTTATTTTGGACTAGATGAGGAAGAGGACGGAAGTTAGTTTTGGAGGGACAAGTTGTTATTTTGAGGCTTAACACCATGTTGGATCACTGCCATGATGAGCCTGGCAGAGTTTTATATAGGGGAAACCCATCATTCCCAAGTGTGAAATAAGAAAAATTCCATTAATTTTCTGAAATCTTTGATATTCTCAAGGTAATATTTTTCTTTTTACTTTACTTAATTTTCTACAGAGTATTATTCTTGTTGTGTTACATCAACCTGAAAAAAGAGAAATCACTGAGTGCTCATATCTATCTTATTTCATTAAAAAACAAACAGAAAACAGGCCAAGAAAGTAATTCAATGATAAAGTGCTTGCCTAGCATGCAGGAGACACTTCAGTCCATCCTCAACACGAGAGAGAGACAGAAAAAGAGAGAGGAGAGGAGAGAGAGAAAGGGAGGAAGGGAGGAAGGGAGGTAGGGAAGAAGGGAGGAAGGAAAGAAGGGAGGAAGGGAAGAAGGAAGAAAGGAAGGAAGGAAAAAAGACACCAGCCTAGCATAGTGGTGCACACCTGTAATTCCAGCACTCTGGGAGGCTAAGGCAGAAGGATCATAAGCTTGATCCCAGCCTGAGCAACTTAGTGAGATCCTGTGTCAATTTTTTTTGTTGGTTTGTTTTTGGTTTTTTGAGACAGGTTTTCACAGTGTAGCTCAGGCTGGCCTCAAATTCCCTATGTAGCCCAGGCTGGCCTTGAATTCACAGCAATAGTCCTGTCCCAGCCTCCTGAGTTTTGAGATTACACGCGCGTACCACCATGCTAGGTTCTAAATTTTTAAAAAAATTGCAAAAGGCTTGGGTGTATGCAGCTCAGTGAAAAGGCCACAAATTCAATCCCTAGGACTTCAACTGCAACAAAAAGAAAATGAAAAACTGAAAAAGTGATGTGTGACTGAATGGAAGACTGCAGTACAATGATCGTTTTTATTGGTTCTTTTATTCTCTTTAAAAATAAAAAAAGAAACATTTACGAAAAATAATGGAACCATTCTCAAGCCAGCTTTAATGCTGAGCCTGACTTGATATATCTTAAAACAAGCAGATTTAACACCACAACACAGAATCAAAAACAGCACAGAAAAAGGAAGGCAGGCAGGCCTCCTCAGAGGGGAAGTAATATAGGAAAGGAGAAGCAAAGAGAATTAAGATGCATTATGTTTCACTATCAAGTCCCCATGATGAGTGTGACTGTTATGTACTACACATATGGACTAATACAAATTTTTAAAATGTATCTTTCCAAAGGTGTTAATATAGAACTAGGATTTATTGTACTCAATATTAATGTACACAGGTGTTGGTCTAGAACCAAGATTTCCTTAGTTTTACATTCAAGATCAATATACAAATGTAATAAACCTTTGTCCCCCTAGAAACTTCAATTCATAAAGCTGGACAGTGTCACAGCCTCCAAGAAGCCTTCCACAATTACTTGCCCCCAGCCAGCAGAGCGGCCAGTCACAGCACTGTGCCCCCCTGCACAGGTGCAAACAGTGAGAACACCACCAAAGCCACAGTACAGCTCTCCTCTGTTTGTCTCCCTATCTAAGCTGTGTGAACTCACCAAGAGCAGGCATCACGTCCTGCTTGGCCTTGTAGTACCAGGGTTGGTACAGAGAAGTTACCCAGTATTACTGATAAATGTTCTAAAATTAAAACTTTACTCTTTGTTCCTAAACACTTCAGAAATTTCCCTGGTATTCTTATGTCTTATTCTTGCTAAGTCATGATTTGTTAGTCCCTCTAAAACCTGAATGAATTTGTAGTAGCAGATCTCCTAACCAATTTCAATTAAGTTAACCAATTAACAAATACTATTATAGCATGCTAACTTATTTCACTGGAAGCCTTGGATCCCTGGCAGTTTTATAAAATATTTAATGGACTTCATTTAAAGAAACATCTCAGACCATTAATGGTCAAAAATATGAATCAATTCACATTGTGTTATTCAAATCCTAGCATTTTTGGACAGCATCAAGTACCAAGTTTTTGAAGATCATAGCCTACCATCACTATGCATTCAAGATTTGAATTTGAATAACCTCATCAAAACTTAGATCTTCTCCAAAAGCTTCACATCTCATCTACATGAAAGCTTGCTATTGAACCCTCTCACCAAAGTAAAAGCTTAGAGGGACTGAAATCCACTAACACATTCCATTTTATATCTCCTCCTCTGACTTGTCTTGAATTTCCTTGGCCTTTAGGGTATTTTATATTGCTTTCTTTGAGCCACAGAAAGAATACTTTCCAAAAATTACATGATTTGTACTCATGAATTTTCACATTAGAGAAGAATAAATGACATAAATTTACAACTAGGTCTTTGGTTGTACCCTATCAAAAGTGAAACCAATAATAAGAAAATCAGGAAAAAGTAGTTAAAATACTTCAGGTTAGATTAACTTCAGAAGCTATGTTGCTTAGCGAAACAGCCCTGAACCTAAAAGTGGACATTTCTTTTTCTATCTCTGCCTCTTGTGAGTTATGTGCTAAATGAAATGTCATTTAAGCTCTCTGCAGTTTAACCTCATTATCTGTGAGGAGAATCTGATAATATTCCATGCTACTTCACAGGGTTCTTGAGCATCAAATGAAATCATGTACATAAGCAGACTTCTATGGAAAAGAGCGTTCTGTTATGTGGTTGTCATTACCTCAGCTCCTAAGCCTGGAATCTAGTTGATTAAAGCACAGTGAAGACAGACTGGACACATGTTAATAAGGCTATGCTAATTTTTCCCCCATGAGTACATAAACACTATCACGAGTAATTCTAAGGAGGAAGACACTACACATTTCCCTAATTATAAACTAGCATTGATAATCTCTAGAACAGTTAAGAGTTATAATATTAGTGGCAAAATTTGTCTACTAACTTGTGACTAGTAATTTTTTAAGTAAAAGAAAATAGAGCAGAATACTACACAGCATTCAGTATTCTACAGAATACAGTACTGAATACTATAGAATACTGTAGAGAACTACAGTTCATACTACTTCCCACATAGTAAAAGCAAATATTGTTTTACTCGCATATTTGAGACTAAAAATATATACAGTATATATAATCTATATATATATAACATATATCACATACTTAAGTATAATATTATATATATAAAATATATACACATTTGGTCATTAAAGTACTTTTTTTTCCCTGTGAGTTCTAAGAGAAGAAAGTATGATGAACACTAACCCTGGTGAGACCTCTAGAAGGCCCACTTATTTTACTCCTCTTGGTTGAACTACAAAGTTAGCAACAATTAACTGTGTCTGCTCCTAATCCTACTATTTTTGTTATCAAAGTAACACAATTTAACTTTATGTAACTTAATTAAATGTAAGTACAAAAAGAGAAGACTGTTCTGCCTACAAAAACAAACTAAATGACTGAAAACTAAACAGGGAGAGGTAAAAACCAGCTAAGGCTAAACTGGGTGTGGGTCAGACAACTATAAAACACATGCAGAGGGGCTGGAAATATAGCTCAGTGGCACAAGCACCTGCCTGGCAAACGCAAGGTCCTGAGCTAGATTCTCAGCACCAAAAACACAAAAACAAAACAAAACACATGCAGAAATCATAAAAGTGTCTGGAGCTTTCTGCACTCATAAAAAAGAGGAATTATAAACAATTCATTCTGAGTGTGGTTTGGAAAGGATGATAGCTCAGGTCACAAACAAAAGACTTTGTCCCTCATTTGAGAAAACACAAACTTGGTAAATAACTTTCATATATCTTAAAATGCTCTAGAAAGTTTTTGTCATTTTTTGCTTTTATGGGATCTTGTGTTGTTGTTACTTTGTTTTACAGTGGTAACAACACTGACCTATAGCCTTGGCCCAGCTACTCCACCTTTTAAAATTTTGAGGTGGGTTTTTGCTAAATTGTCTACACTAGCCTTGAACTCATGACCTTCCTGCCACAGTCTCCAAAGTAGCTGCGATTATAGGCAACCACCGAGCCCAGCCAGAAATGTCTTCCTCCCTCCCTTCCTTTTTTTTTTTTTTTTTTAAGACAGGGGCTCACTGTGTAGCTCAGGCTGGTCTTGAACTCACTACACAGCCAGGCTAATCTCGAACTCTCAGTGATACTCCTGCCTCAGCCTCTTAAATGCTGGGATTATAGGTGTACACTACCATGCTGAGCATGATTCCTTGCTTTAATATAAATTTTCAATGAACTTGGAACTCCATGACTTTTCTTTTCTTTTTTTGCCTTTTTTGAGACAGGGTCTCACTATGCAGTTCAGACTGGCCTTGAGCTTACTTTGTAGCCCAGGCTGGTCTCAAACTTTAAGCAATCCTTCTGCCTCAGTCCCCTGAGTGCTAGGATTACAGGCATGTACCACCATGCCTGGCTGATGATTTTTCAAAGAACTTGTTTACAATAGATAAATAGATATATACTATACATATGTATGTATTTTTTTTTGAGACAAGATCTCACTATGTAGCCCAGATAGACCTTGAACTCGCTATGTAGCCCAGATTGGCCTCAAATTTTCTGTGATCCTCCTGCCTCAGCTGGATTCCATGAATTACATGCCACTACACTTGGCTTCTTTTACTGTATTTAATATCTTACAAGAAAAAATTATCTTTAAGTAAAAAATTTTTAAATTTCCCTTATTATTTACTACACTTTGCTACTTCATTTATTCCATTTCTTAATATATGTCCATCCTTAATGTAAATAACTAAATAAAGCCAATATGATATATATTAAGCTGTACATCATCTCTTGGAACCATGTTTCCTACAAATTTATCTAGAATACATTTTATATTACTACTACATTATGAAAAAGGAAGTTTCCCAATTTTACAGCTAATAAGCAAGTTAAAAATGAGTGATATCTTCACAAAACTGAAATATAAACCACTTTTTCAAACACTAAAAAGTGATCTGATTTATTTTACATGCTAGCTGGATCCAGTGGCATCTGCCTATACTCTCAGTTACTCAGGAGCCAAAAGCAGGAAAATCTCAAGTTTGAGGCCAGCTTGGGCAACAAAGAGGTCTCTTCTGCATTAAGAAAAAAAAAAAGCTACATATTTACAAATGTTAAGTACTGAACATTTTAACCACCCACCCACCACCATTACTGTACTAACAAAAGAGACCAAAGAGGAAGGACAGCGTAATGCTACAATCAAACATAAGTCTCAAAGCATGTTTTACCTTTCGATTCTGATCGTAAACAGAATCAATCCCCAAAATGCTATTCACTTCTACATAGGGGTATTTCTTCTGCAGGACACTGACCACATGTTCAACTTTCACCTTGTCTCCAGTCCTCACCTTGTTATAGACCTGAAGAAAGAAAATCAGTAACCAATTACATGATAAAAACCAAATTCTGAATATCCATTATGAAAAATCTCTGAATGGAGAAAAAAGTGACAGTATGTCATATCAACATTAGTCCTTTTTCCAAATCTCATTCAGATGCCTTCTTAAGTTAGAAACTAAATATTCTTAAAATGATCCTAGAAAAAGAATTAAAATATGTTATGTACATGTACCAACTCCTCACAAGGAATGTAAAAGTTATGCATTGCAAGCATGCACTAATAAAAAATTAAAAATTGAAATGATCCAAGAAATTAAAATGACCCAAGCAGTTCACAATCATGGTTAAATCACAAATACAAAATGCATTAAGAAATCTCTAAATACTGAAAAGTAATCATTGAAGAATGCAGGTCAGAAAAAAAACTACAGTGGAATCTATAAAAGCTCAATAAGAGCCTCTAACATCATTCTCTCCATCTTCTTACAGCTAAACTAGAAGGACTTATAACAAAAATATCAGACTTACAGATAACCTCCATCAGTAGAGGGGCCTAAGAGCCAATCGGGTACAATCATTATTCCAGTCCCTTAAGAGTAGTTTCTGGATGTGGCTCTTTCCTCAACCTGTCTTTCCACTTTAGCGCTCATGGTTTGATTATATATGCTTTAATTTCTTGGAAATTTTGTTTATTCTTGCCTAGAGGTTGCCAAACTCCAAGATCACGGAGATGGAACCAACGACAGATGTGCCAGACTCCTTCTAATGGGATACACCAGACTGACCTTGCAAAGAGTTCATAACTGCTAAACTACAACATGACTTCTATCTGAGGCCCATTAGGTTAGCTCTCTGGAGAAGGCCTTCCACTGCAGTTTCCCCTATACCAACCCTTCTCAGTTTGAAGCAGCTAGATGGAAACTATGCCTCTTCTCCCCTAACCAAAGTTAGGGGTACCTCTTCAGAGGGGTAATATTATAGACAGCTAGGTTAGGTAGAAATATAGTAGGCAGTCAGTGCAGAAGATGAGAACCCATCAGGACTGTGGCTGAAGGTGCATCTGAAGAGTAAAGTCACAATGGCAAGTTTTATATACTTCCCTAAGGGATGAACAGAGGCTTGGGATAATTGGTATCATCCTTTTGAAATCCATCCTCTCCTGCCTACTGAGATTAAATCTAAGACCAATAAGACTAAGACTGCTAAGACTAAGGGCCAAAACTATTGATTATCCATCAAGGTTAACAATGTCACTCATGCACCCTTGCTACCATTAGATCAATATTACCTAAGCAACTCAACTTGCAATCTTATTGGTTGATCATAATTTTAACCCATGTTGTACCTGCCTCATGATTTTGTTCTATAAAACTTCCTTTGAGAGGTGGGCTCATTAGCAATTCCTCACTCCCCTATTCCTATTCCCCATTCCTTTTCTCTAATAAATTTTCCTACCCTTAAAAAAAAAATACATGTTCATGATGTTTAGGGTAAAGAAAAGTTGAAAAATATAGTGTGGAGGACCACCAGGACAGCTCTCCTTGAAAGAAGACCATTTGTCTCCATGCTGGCTAAACCTGGCCCTAATTCTGTGTATTGATATATACAGAGCTGGTTAGGATAATACTTTACCCCCTCAACTGGCTTTAACCAATGTAAATGGATCTAACTGAGGCACTGATGTGTAGCATTTGAAGCAATGTGACAGGGCAGTGATGCCCTACCTGTAGCTCCTTACTACTAAGCATGAGCCAGGCATTGAGACCTGTACTGTCACTGTCGGCTGAGACTGAGGCTCAAGAAAGAGGCCCTGATCTCTCAGGGCATGAAGACCAGACATCAAAGCTGAAGCATCAACCAGAAACAAAATACTTCCTCAAACTGTGTTATGTAGATTCCTCCAAATTTAGAGGCTACCTGTTACCAGAATCTGGTACTCTTTCTGTATACAGAGGTGCTACTGTGCCTCCTACCTAGCCCAGTTCACAGTACTTACATATTTCTTGCCATTCTCACAATCACTCAATCCCAGGAGGTCAGCCACTCCCATTTTCACAAATAAAATCCCTGTTAGGCCCTAGGTCAAGGCCTTTGTTCCAATTAGCCATTGTTCCAAATGGACTTAGGATCCCCCTGGCTCCCCACAACTAGAGATATGTGTTTGTCTCTATTCTCGCTGTGGGTTGCACTGGAAGTGATAGACTGGAATTTACTTGCTAGAATTCCGATAACTTTTCCCTGGGATTACAAGTGTAGGCTCCTCTGGACCACGATGAGGCTGGAGCAGGCTCTCTATAATATAGTATATAGCAAAATCCCTGTTTATACCAAATCAAAAACAAATAACAAAACTGCCCACACATGTACCGCTCAACCTCTAGAAGCATGCAAGGCAACCTGTTCATGATGCCCAACTTTAGGGAGAATCAGGGACTGGAGAGAAGTGAGGCAGAGAAATCTGAACGTTATTTGAATTTTTTACAGTGAGCACTTTTGCAACAAAAGGAAGCAAATATCTGTGTCATCCTTTCCTTATACACATATTGAGGACAGAGAAAAAGCTGTGAAGAGCAGCTTTCTTTATTTATGATGTTGAGTAACTTCTTTTGAACCTACTTCATTCTCCACAGTCCTGCTAACTTTCTCATTATTTTTCGTGGAGGTGACTGCAGCAGTTCATTAACTAGAATCGCAGCCCACTTTCCATCAGATCCACCTTCATGCACTGCACAGAATGAGCCCTGCACACCAGCTGCCCTGCCTCCTGTGGCCTCCAGGACTAGCTTCCCTCCCACTCTGCTCTCCCCATCTCCTGCTTACACCATAAGAGCAACTTGCCAATCTAACTGGCACCCTGCAAAAGTGACTTCCCTTTCCTCGTGGACTACACTGAGACAACTGAGCACTCCACAGAAAGGCCCACAGCCATGTGCAGGTGAAGTGAGCGCCTTGTGCCACAAGGCCAGATGCAGTTTTCCACACTGCATGACATCTGTCTCAACACGTGCCCTGCAAGGCTGCAAGGTCTTAGAGGACAGGGGTGAACCCTAATTATTCCTTGCATCCCCCACAGCTAAGATCAGGCATGGCACCAAGTAGGCCTTTTTTGATAAATGTTTACCAGACAAATAGACATTCTTAGTACCAAAAGATGCCCCAAACAAATCTCTAAACAATAAATATAACGTAAATGATCAACCACAGACCAACATCATCTTATGGGTAAAGTGGTAAAATCAATTATTTAAACTTTTTTTTTTTTAGTACCAGGAATTGAACCCAGGACCTTGTGCTTGCCAGGCAGGCACTGTGCCGCTGAGCTGTATCTCCAGCTTAAACATGCTTTTTTAAGTTACCATTAATCTGAAAACAAAAGAACTGATACATGTAAAGTTGTCTAGACTTAAACAGCAAAAAGAAAAAGAAAACAAGGAAAACTCTGAACATGAGCAAGTAAATGCCTTAAATATACACACAAGTCAAGCATTTCAGAGTTTCCAGTAAAAACAAAGAAACCAGAATATTAGTCACTAAAGAACTTTATGATGTACATTAAACTATATCCTAATTCCTAAGGAACCTTATCTTAACTAAAATTACAACAATTTATTGTTAATGTCAGTGAATCGATAAAGTGGAGACAATCTGTAAAATCCAAAATATAAAGGATTTACATGAATACTTTTCTCTACAGATACAGAATCCTCTTACCACACATTTTGTTTTACAATCAGTTAAATTTTTTTTTTTAAATTGCCATTTTGAATACAAACATACATGTGTCAGAGTCTGGAAAGCATGATACTCATCCACTTCGTGGGCCACATAGTTATACGCTCTGAGAACAGCCACTCCAGCGTCCTGCATCCCATCCACATCTTCAGAGTCATTAACCACAAAGATAAAACCAACTCTGGAGAGAGAGCAGAAAGAAGAAAAAGAAACATCTCAAAGCATGCAGCCAGTGAAGAGAATGGCATTCCTATATAGCCCTTATGACTGTAGCTAAAAGAATAGTGCCCCTAAATGCAAAGTGCATGTCACATCCCACTCGAACATGGTTGTAAAACTGTACATGTGTCACTTATAAAACGAAAGCAGGTTGTCAAAGTGGCTAGGTTTTCCTACTGTTCAAGTAATCTATTTCCTCGCCATGAAAAGACTCCTTTTCTGACATGAAAAATATTCCTATAATTTTAGGTGGAAATTTTGCTCTGCTTTTAAACAAATATTAAGGGAAATTAAAATATTCAGACTATAAAAGTAAACAGAAAAGAAGGAATTGTGAGACTTAACATCAGCAACAGGAATTATAGGTAACAGAAAAGCAGAAAAAAAATTTGGCCTACAGCAAAAAGCCATAACCAAGGGTAAAGTTCACTAAATTTTAAAATTTAAAATAAAGGAATAAAACACAAAAAGATACCATTACATATCTAGAAATGGATTGGCAAAAGGACTTGCACTGGGCAATTCGGAGGACCCTAGTCCCTGGTCTCCTATTGAAGCAAGACAACCCAGCAGAAACAGGATGGCCTTTCCAACAATTGGTGTCAGAGCAACTTGACATCCACATGCAAAATAATGAATCTACAAACAGACAATCTATACCTTCTGCAAAAACTAACTCAAATGGGTCATAAACTGCAAAACACAAAACTATGAATCTCCTAGGATACAACAAAGAAGATGGTAATCTTGGGTTTTGCAATGACATATTAAATTCAAAACCAGGATCCATAAAAGAACTAATTTCTAAGTTGGACTTCATTAATATTAAAAATTTCTACTTTGCAAAAACACTATTCAGAGAACAAAAGGAGTCTCTGCCCACCGTGCACCCATAGCAGACAGGAGGACCTCACTCAGAAGCCTCAGGGACTGCTCTCACTGGGGTGCACGTGTGGGCCCTCCCTGCACACACCCTGCGCCCAGTGAGGAAGTGCTCCAAGAGCTGCTGGTTCTGTGGTTCAAGCCCATGCTTTACTCCCACTGCCACAGTCCCCAGCTGAAACTCCCGGAGAGAGCCAGGTATTTCCCATCTGCTTCCTGGGGGCAGAGCAGGAGACCCAGGACCCTGCTGCTATTACAATCTGAGACTCTGCCCTCCGTGCACCCGCAGCAGACAGGAGGTCCTCACTAGAAGCCCCGGGACTGCTCTCACTGGGGTGCGCATGTGGGCCCTCCCTGCACATGCCCTGAGCCGAGTGATCGAGTACTCCAAGAGCTGCTAGTCCCGCGGATCGAGTCCGTGCTTTACTTCCACTGCCACCGTTCCCAGCTGAAGCTCGAGGAGAGAATCAGCAGACAGGAATTCCTCACTCAGAAGCCCCAGGGACTGCTCTTATGGGGTTCGTGAGTAGGCCCTCCCTGCACATGCCCTGTGCCAAGTGAGCGAGTGCTCCAAGAGCTGCTGGTCCTGCGGATCGAGTCTGAGCTTTACTCCCACCGACACGGTTCCCAGCAGAAATTCACAGAGAGAGCCAGGTATTTCCCATCTACTTCCTGGGGGCAGAGCAGGTGACCCAGGACCCCGCCACCATTATAGTCTGAGTCTCTGCCCTCCCTGCACCCGTAGCAGACAAGAGGTCCTCACTCAGAAGCCCCAGGGACTTCTCTGGCTGGAGGCAGCACATGTGGCCTCTCCCTGCACACGCCCTGCGCTGAGTGAGCGAGTGCTGCAAGAGCTGCTGGTCCAGCTGTTTGAGTCCATGCTTTACTTTTGCCTGGACCCCCTAGGGAGTCGCAGGCACGGGCAGTCTGTGATTGCTGCCCATCCGGCCTGCATCTGGTTCCTGTATGTGTCCTGAACTGACTGGAGACATAGAATCAGGTGGTTCACAAACTGTCGACCCTGCAGTTTGTGCCTGGGTTTTGCCTGTACCCTGAACTGCCTGGGGACATAGGTACACTGGACCAGGATTGTCACACCAGTGAAACCCGAGTCTGGGCCGCGCACGTGCCCTGAACTGCATGGGGACAATGGATCAGACAGTCTGCCATCAGCTGACACCAATGCCCACATCTGAGACCAAGGATAACTAGATACAAATCAACAACTGAGGAAAACCCGAGACTAAGCAGACCTTCTCAGGGGTCACTGAGGGGCAAACTTGACCAACAGGAAAACTAGGGACACTAGTTGCCTTTGCTGTGCAGCTACTGAAGAGGGAAACAGTTTTCTGCATCTGGTAGCAAACATAACAAAATGAAAGACTAAAACACAACCCCAGAACTCCACCCCACTGAGAACAAGTCCAGGAGACATCGACATAGGAGAACCTGGTAAACACATCCCTGAAATAGCTGAAATGATTGCAATGGAAGTAAAGAAACAACTCCATAAGGCCATAGAAGAGATGAGATCAGAAATAATCTCTCAGGCAAAAAATGAAATGACAATAATAATGAAGGAACTGTTCAAAAAGTCTGAAGAACAAACATATAAGAAAACAGAAGAACAATGACAATGGACAGAAGTGTTAAATGAAAAATATAGAAATGACTTAGAACACATGAACCAGATTCAAAGAGACTTCCAGGAAAACAAAGCTGCCATTGAAAGCTGCCAAAACCGCTTGAATGAAGCTGAAGATAGGATCTCACACTTTGAACACAGCATGGCAGCTAGCAACAGTGAAAGAAAGGATCTTGTAAAATCAACAAGGATCCAGGAAAAGTCAATTCAACAGCTGCAAGATGAGGCAAAGAGGAATAATGTACGACTTATAGGAGTCAATGAAACAGCAGGAGGCAACACAACTGACATAAAGAGTATTTGCAGAAATAATAGCAGAAAATTTCCCAAGCATGGAAACAGAACCTGATTTACAGAACAGTAAATGAGGCATATAGAACTCCAAACAACCACAACTGAAATAAAACTACACCCAGACATAT